AAGCATGGCTCTTTATGTAGCCAGCCGTGTTCACTGCCAGTCAAACTGACAAGTATACCAAATTCAAAATCTTGGATAGTGCATCTTTGGAAATGCATTTCCAAACACTGATATGAATCATATTTCCAGTCTGTCATAACCTAAATCTGACCTGCTAAAGAACAGGAACAGAAAAAGGTGTGTGTGTGTGTGTGTGTCGGGGGGGGGGGGGGGGGGTATTAAGATTTTAATGTAAATGTCTTCTTTGGCACTGATTTTATTTTATTTTTTAAGAATCACTGTACTCTATTAGAATAGCTTGGATGTTACAGCACACATACAGTAGCATGAGTACTTATTTGGGCATCAAGAGCATTTATACAGAGAATAAACCCTTGGCCTTTTTTTAAATTGTACTTAAAAGAGCCTTTTTTTCTCAGAATCCAAAGTCTTAGTCCATCTGTCAGGTGGTTGTGTATTGTGACATCTGCCTGTTGGTTTTTCATATTAGCATCCTCCTGTTGTTCAGTCATCTCCACTTTCACATGTGATGTTATGCCAAAGAAACATCCAGCAGTAATCTCTCTGTGATCTGAGTTTCAGGTTCTTAGAGAAAGTCCTGTAACGTGAAGGTGCGATTTGAAAGAAACCATCTAAATAGTGGTTTTACTGAAGGTTAACTCATACACACAAGATCACCCACACACAGTACAACCTTGTTTGAGATTGACACCTACAGGGCATTTTTTACCTTTCAGCTGAGACTATCCCCCTCTGGCTTAGCTCTGTCCAGCGTTACTTCGATTAGGATAATCGGAGCTTGGTTTAAATCTTTTCAGGAAATTAAATTAAACATTTGATGGTGTCTTTTCCCCTTAAGACATCTGAGTGGGTGGAGAATCTATTCCATCACATCTCTGCTTTTCTGCCTTAAAGCCATAAATCCAGGACATTTTGATGCAATGGTAGAAGGAAATATTTCCTTGATGAGAGATGGAGAATAGTTAATGTGCGACTGGTTTGAGCTCAGCCCAGTCAGGTAAAGAACAGGACTTATATTTATTCAAGCAACTCAGAATCCACCGGAACGGCATCTGCAACTATGCTGCATTATTTGTAGCTTTTGCATATTTGACGGTCTGATACCAATTAGTAGAGGCTAACAGTAAGGATTAATACTTTTATAAAGCCAACAGAGACTGAGAGCACCACAAGCATTGCAACCACACCACTGAAAATACAGCAGTTTTGCAATGCTTCAGGTTACGCAGAGGCTTGCAGAACAGAGACATTTTAAAATATAACATATCAATACTTCAAACATAAGTGCATCAGCGCCATTAAGGTAGAGAATGTGTACTAATCAAGACGGAGCTTCAGAACAAAGTAGTAAATTATTACAAAGAAAAAGTTCAGGTCCTTTTTTTTGTAAAAGGCGTATGAGTAAATAAGCACATGAAGGTTTAGTATGATCAAGAAATAAATGTAAATGACATTTAAAGGATGTGTGCCTGCTTACAATACAACAGAAAATCATCATCATTCACATCTCTCCTTTTTTTTATTCAACACATAATAACTCGAGCTGAAGTGCATCAAACAAAGAAACCATAGCACGCCCATATAGCTCACTCAAAGGTGACTCATAATTTTCACAAGATTATAAAAAAAACCTGTAGCTTATGGAGAGATGACAACTCTGGCATTTCCAAAGGAAAAAAAAACAAAACAGGCTTTTCGCACCACAATGATAAGTGTGCAAGTGAGAAAAACGCACTCTGGCTCCTTATTTTCTCAAGACAGCAAAATCACTTTGGAGTTTGGAGAGTGAGTGTAGCATTTTCTTAACTGCAACTGTCAGTCACTGAATAATACAAAACCTTTTGTACTTTATTCCTCTTTTTCCACTCACTTTCAAGAATGTACATTTGAATGGGGTGAATATATCAATCGTTCAATCAAGGTTAAAGGCTCAACAGAAGTTTTATACAACTATCTTGTTTTAGCTTTCTTGTCAATTTTGTCCTTATAAAGGGTTAAGAAATTGGACTTTATCTTTATTATCCCATCCATACATCCATCGTCAACCGCTTATCCTGTGTACAGGGTCGCGGGGGGGCTGGAGCCAATCCCAGCTGACATCGGGCGAAAGGCGGGGTACACCCTGGACAGGTCGCCAGTCCATCGCAGGGCCACACATAGACGAACAACCACTCACACCTAAGGACAATTTAGGGTCACCAATCAACCTAGTCCGCATGTCTTTGGATGGTTGGAGGAAGCCGGAGCACCCGGAGAGAACCCACGCAGACACGGGGAGAACATGCAAACTCCACACAGAAAGGCCGGGGCAACCAGGGTCTGAACCCACGACCTTCTTGCTGTGAGGCGACAGTGCTAACCACCGCACCACCGTGCCACCTTTATCTTTATTATTTACAGAAGAATTAAATGTATCTGTTTTGCCAGGTCTGTCATTACTACTGTTAATATCTATTGAAATCATTATCATAAATTAACTTAATTTATTTAAATATGGGAATTAAATATAGCTTAACCACAGCTGAGATGGTAGTACCGCTACTCTGCTAAGCGAGTCACCATTAGCAGGTTTTGAACGAGGTTTTTTTCTCTGTCATGGTTAGATTTAGCTACTGTCTCATTAAGTTATGTGAACAGATAACGGATAAGGAACAAACTGTAGTAACAAAGTTTAAGTTTTAGCTAAGCGAGCATTGGCTAGTTCCCCAGCTAGCTTTCATGAGATGTGGCTCTGTTACTTTAGCTATATAGCTGGTTGTGGCGAAGAGTGCACTAAATGTGACGGCAGACATGCTCATTTGAGTATATGAATATAAAATGTATATAAATATATTTCAAACTCTCATTCTTGATGTCATCTAGTATCGGCAATTGGTTGCTTGAGGAAACATTTTGATGGAGTAAAATATATGTACAAGAAATCCAGTTAACACCTTTGTAGGTCTGAATTTGAGTAGGGGTAAAAGCAGCGGCAACTGCATGACCACCTATTACATGCTTCTTTGATCTACCTCCATGTTTTGCCCGCTTAAGAGGGCAACACACAGACAAGTCCGTGTTGTGTAGGCTCTGCCTCCCACTTAAATACACTCAATTCTGACAGAAGTAAAAGTGCGCCATTGCTTGATTTAGATGGGCCTTTCAGTAGTTCCGCTCTGCAAAGGGTTCAGGGTGCTGTGCCACTGCCATTACACCTCTGTATCATCAAGGGCAAAATGTTGAGCAGGCTCAACATTTTGCATGACCCTCAGCTGAAGTTCAGAAACAGTCAGTGAAGATGTCAGAGCCATTATTCTGAGCAAAGTTGTTTAAACAGCTGATATGGCATTAAAGCTGGGGATATTTTATGTTTGTACACAGTGACCTGACCATCCTCCACATTTTAATAAAGACAACTCGCCTTCTTTTCTCTTTGTGGTTGAAGGCAGAATGAAGAATAAAAATGAGGAAATAGGCCGTATTCCTTTTAAAAGACTCAAGAGTTTGTGCTTCATATTCGAGGTTAGACAAATCTCGCATTCCTGCCTTCTTGTAGCCATTGAAAGCTCCACTTGAAACCATTCCAAACACAGAGTATGGCAAATACTTTGTTCAAAGTCGGACCAAAATGTATTTCAGCTGTTCACAGAAGTTGCCATGTTGCCAGTCAAAGAACTTCAGGGAGAATGTAGTATCTCTGAGGGGCCATTGCTCTGAGGCAAAACCTACCAAAACCTGCGACACAATTTCTCAGGAAGTGGCAGGGAGTAATTCAGTGAGAGGTGTGGAGTGTAAAGCCGATGCGAGGAAGAGGGGCCACTGCAAGTACATGCCAGGGATGGAGTGTCTTCAGGAGGAGAGGGATGGACAGGAAAATAAGGTACTGTTAAAAGTCTGTTGCTGTAGATTATTGTTGGTTGTAAATCATGGCCAGCAGAGTTCAGAGGCAGCAACAGAGGCAGATTCTGTCTCACAAATGACCTCTTGATTTTATTCTGCCCCATTTGGCGAACATGTTAACTTGGCATATAAATTTTTCTGACAACGGGGTGACCCCCAACTTGTGGCTGTCCGAACTATTCCCGTTTTCACTGCTGTGTCTGTAAGTGTTCAGGATAGAGAAAAGATCAATAAAAACACCTGTCCGTGCATTCAAGGGGTGAAAGCTTGATGGTAAAGACAACTGTAAAAGGAACAAGGCTAGATAAACAATATTATTTTTACTGGAAATGGTGATGCTGACTGCTGGGGGAATGAATTATACAATCTGACTATAACAGGAGTATGCTGCTATGCCACAGCTCCTCATTTCCTCTTTCTCTCTCTGCCTCTTCACACACATCAAACATACACATCTCTCTTTCTCACACACAGTTCTGTTACTATTATTACACTGTCTATGACTTATTAAATGTATATTATTGCAGTGACTTTAATTAAATATGTTGCACTAGAATTGCTTCCTTTGAAGCATTAAATTTCAGGTATCAACTGGACAAATATAATTACTTATTTTCTAAGCTGCAGTGAAAGCAAGAGCTCTGTCCTATACCAACCAACCTCTACTGTCACCTCAATGTATTCTGACAGTGAAGTATTATGGCCATAGGCTTTAGTGGGTCCAACCCCATGTCTACAAAATGTAACCTTTTTTATAAAAACGTGTGTGCATGTGTGTGTTTGTGTCTGTAGGTGGGAGCTCAAATCAGCACTGTCCATTTACTGTATTTTTCTGAAGCACACTGCATTAAGTGAATACACACACACACTCACTGAGGGGCAAATAAATGTGGAAACCTCCTCAGCCTGTAAAAACTCATAGAGTTGGAGCTCCCTCTAGGGGTGAGAGCAGACACACACTGTGCTCGACTTCAGCTCACTTCGAAAATAAAATTCTGACTTAAGCAGATTTTTTTTTTTTTTTACAACCACATACATTTTAAATGTTGAATTGATGTTTCAAATAAATGTAGAAATAATACCCACTCCTTGGACACAAATGAGAAGAACTTACTACTTTACTTTTACTTTTTTTGACCTGGTTGACACCAAAATACATTTCTGACAACAGAAATATCTTGTAAAACAGCAATCAAGACTCCCCGTCATAGCAATGGAAAGCATGTAAATGACATTTCAATCAAAAAGGGTCAATCATATAAAACTGTCACCAAAGGTAGTTTGACACTACTGTATAATAGTAAAAAGCGCTGTGTGTTGCTCACTGGCATCAACACCATAAACTACAGTATAAAAACGCATCTATTATTTTGAACTGGATGCAGTTGTCAGTAATGTGATGTACCTTGTTAGAATATACTGTAGCTGTGATTATGTGTGGATCTGCGTGGGTGGAGGGAGAACGAATTTCAAGGCTTTGTAGGAGCATAGGAGTGGAGCTTACTGGTAATTTTGAGTGGGTGGGAGGGAGGCTTATAGGTGGGTGAGAAAGTAACCAGGTTTTATTTTACAGTGGCAGGGCAGACAATGTAGAGTCTTTTATGGGCGAGTAGGATGGGTATAATGCTTAGTTGTAGTCCTGCGATTGGGACTATTTATGCGTCAGTGTGTGTATATGTGTGCACAGACCCTGTTTTTGTGTGTTTCTGGAAGTGTGTTTGGGCGGTTTGACTATTCACAGTCGTCTCCTGGTGAATGAGATGTTTTGTCAGGGAATCCAAGTTGCTTCAGCCTGGTCATCACTCTTTTTCCCATCTGATTGAACTCAGACCTGTAGGTCGCCTCCATCTGAAGCTCCCTCTGGTGCCTGTGAGAGAGCAGGTTCAAAGATTGATAAACTACAGCCCCGATTTATCACCATAAGGCATCCAAAGCACTACCAATTTAAGCTATAATAAGCTATATTGTTGTAAAGTAGTTCAATCAAAGTAATCCTGGTCACTGCTCGTAAATAATTGTGTTATTAAATGTTCCTCTAAAATATAATAAATTTCTACAAACATATGAAGAAAACTGTAGCATAAAATCACATTAATTTTCTTTACAGCAGTTTCAAATCTCAATCTCATCTCTATACAAGTACGGAGCATCATTAAAAACCGTTATTTGTCAAAATATAATGTCTGTCAAAAAGGTTTAAACACATTTCAAATCAATGAAAATGTTTTTTCCCCAAATTTAGTTTCATTTAAAATAATCTCTTCATCGCTACATAACGAGTTAACTTGTTAAAAACAAACAACATGTCCCTCTAAAAGAGCTGAAAACATATCAAAGAAATCTTGAAAATGTAATAAAAATATCCTAAAACAAATCAGGCTGTAAAAAAAAGTGTCATTAAATATTAGACCCATTTGTCGGGACATTATTAATCACGTATTAAGTAGTGATCAAAGAATCCAGCTGTTACATGAGTTTACTTGATAAACTTTGCTCAAACCTCAACCAGCGACACAATCTTGATCAATGTTCAAAGTACTATGAAAACAAGCTTTCTTCTATGAAAAGTAGCATCATGCACTGTGTTCCAGCTCCCAGGAAGCACATTCATTAACTTCATGTTTGGTTTATCTTGAGAACTTCCTCTCTTAAAAATAAAAGTACGACATGTTTATAGCCCATTCCAAAAGGCACTATCTGTAATGTGTCTGTGTGGATATACTTGAACATTCATCCTATTTATTACAAGTGAAGTGCATCATTTGTGTAAATAAGCATTTAGTACGCCTAATACTCTAAATGTGATCTCTTGCATCTCTACTTACCTGGCTGTTGTTCCTCTGGTGAGGTTGCCACTGGAGGCCAGAGTTTTCCCAGACAAGAACTCTGCTCTGATCATCGCTGGTGTAAGCTGGACTCCTGAGCCTTCACACCTGCACACATAATCGGAGCGGTTATCTTCTCTCTCAGTTATCTCTGAAACCTGATAGAAAAAGCTTCCAATTTGAAGATCAATAGATGTCAATGTTGTCAGTGCTTACACTTTATCCATTAGTGGTGCCAGATCATCAGGAGGGCCAGTGAGAGGAGGAGGTGCTGTGAGTGGAAGTATATCTGTGCTGTAGTCGACAGACCTATAGAGGACACACACACTGCTTTTTCCACTTAAGAACCAGACCACACATTACCAAATCGAGATAATGGTCAGATATCTACTCCATCTTCCTCACATGAAAGGACTGCTTAGGGTTGTTTGAAATCTCAGTTTGAAATGAAATGATAAAAGTACTCCCAAGTGAAGAACAGAATTTAAACACAGAAAATCCACCCGTTTGCTTTTGGAGGCACCCCTGTTCTAGGCTGTGAATGGGAACACATGTTCACCTACACATACAGTATGCAACAGTGAGAAACACTCACATTGTGCAAATGTCATGACCTGGACTGGCCTGCAGCACCTATTTGAAAATCCATCACTTAGTTTGTGTGTTAAGTGCTTCCAAATTTCTTCGTTACTACTAGCTAGTTTCAAACTAGTGATATACAGCTACAGTAACAGTTTCAGGAGGCCAAACAATGTTTTAAAAATAACAGCCAATCCTTTGTAAATGTATATATGGTTTTGTTTTATCTATACACGCATTCATACATGTGTTTCAGAATTAGTAGTATTCATGCAGTTTAGAATAAGTGGGAAATATCTAGTGATGCTAACCTAATGGCGCTGTAGAGTCACGTAGTCTGATGTTACTAGCACAATAGTTTCTAATTTTAGGTATAGCCTATTGTGTCATTTTTGTGAAATGTAATTTAAAGCATTCCCAATGTACATCATAATTTAATTTAACAACATTTTTAATTTTCAGTTCAGATATGTCTACCATGATTCATACCACCTCTATTACCTGCCTCACTCTTCAATCTACACGGGTCATATATTAGCAAGCTAATGTTGCCAGTCAGCTAGCTCAGTTACACCTGGCAGCTACTGGGTGTAAATATTAAACCTGCAGTAACTGTCCTGTCTGTCCCTCTTGCTCATTCACACATCCAGCAGTTATTGAGAAACTTTGTCATTCATCTGGAGTCGTGTTTTTGGCCGCCTAAGTTACTCACCATAAAGCTCTGCTAAGTTGAGGGTTTAGTTTCTTTCAAGGTTCATCACTACTAAGACTGTTCTCTTTCAGTACTACTACTACTATAACTTGTCATTATAGAAATATTGACAATAGAGGCTTTAGGTAAAAGCTAATCTCTTAAGAGCTAGTCTGGGTGAGTTTGAACTGACGAGGAGTTGCCACCAGCACCAAGGGAATTACATTTTTCTATGCTATAAAAGCACAATGTACACAATGTGCTGTAATCAATAACGTAATACTAAACTATATCAAAAATAAGCATATTAATCAAAATCTCATGATTGATTGATTGATGTTTGGTCTCTGTTGTAGTTATATGAGTCTGTGTGGTTCACAGCAGTATGGCTTTAAGTTAAGTAGACTCTGTACCCACAGAGTTACTGCACTAAAGTGTGTTGGTAGTTGAGATACAGAATCTCGTTAACTGAATAAGGAAAAAACATACTTTTCTCTTTCTCCTGCTGTCAAGTTGCTGTCAAGTTAATTTTCATCTTTTATTATGGCCACCTGACATAAATCGTATTGTTTGTGTTTGTAAAATAAGACTGTGAATGTAACCAGTGAGGCAGTGATAGAAAATTAATAAGACTGAGCAGGGAGGCTTGGAGGGGAGTCATCTCTTGGATGAAAAAAAGAAGAATACATCTACAGTTATCCTGCAGATCAGTGCTGACAGGCAGAAAGAGAATACTTTGCCTTGTCAGGCATCTGATTATGTAACAGTGAAGGTGAGGGGAAAAGGGAAGTAGACAGAAAGGTGAAGAAAGAGAGTTGAAGCAGCGTAAGATTCAAACCCACGCATTCACAAGTACATCATGTGAACAGTAGCTGCCTTGTAAAATAAGGACTTCAAATAGTTTCAGATCTCACAGGGAACATTGCTTCATTAGCTCTGCAACTTAAAATTTCTATCATGCAAGACAAATTATAGTGTCCATGAAAAGGGTCAGAGTGTTCTACGCACACGAGCGGTATTCATTGTGACAGGGTGCATAGAGAAGCATACAGTGCACCACATGGGACAGCCCATTGCTGTGTTCACTAATACACTACATCAAAATATCATCATTTATTCACTGGCCATTTAGGCTAAAGACTGAATAAATCATTATTTCACAGTGTAAGTGAAGACAGCGTGTATGGCTACTTGCCTCCGTCTGACCTAGATTCTGCACACACAAAAAGTATTTCCCTTGAGTTATACGACAATACTACAGGAAAGAAGTTTGAGCAACCTACCTATCCATCCAAATGATAGATTTAGAATATGACTAGGTCATATTTGAAACAAACTGGCAATAAAGCAGATCACTGCAGTAGTACCAAAGCACATAATTTCAGTCCAAAACTACTGGAATGTGGTCATTTGCATTGCAGTCAAGTCAAGTAGAGCATTTTTGTCAGTGTCACCTGAGGGAGAAAACTAATCTCAACACTCAAGATTTTTTTTTTTTACAGAAGTAGTACTGATCAATGCAAGAAGTACACACCTATTATCTTATATGTCTAGCAAGTCCTAATAGGATACAAATATAAGCAGTTTATTTCACAAAAACTAAATGAAATCCCAAATGATAACTGCAAAATACTGTACAACCATGTAAGCAATTTCACATCCTGCAACCTGGCAGGTGCTGGAAGTTGTTTGGACATTACACATTTATTCTAAGAGACTGCGAGAAGTCTTGTTTCTGTAATACTGTATGTGAGATAACGAATGGAACCCCAAGCTATTAAAAACTACCGCTGTGCCTCTGCAATTTGACAGGGGGCGTTGAGAGGATAAATGTCTACTTTGAGTGACCACTTGTTAAGTCAGTAATATGAGTCTTATAAGTCTTTCTAATGTGACCAACGTGTAAAGGCTCTCAGTGTATATCAACAGATGAGCAGCTTTAGATCAGGAGGTTCAAGGTAAATTATTCATTGACTGGATGTATTTGGAAAAAATATCAATTGTTGATTTTACCCATCAGGGAGATGCACACTTGGGAACGTCATGCTCTTTTTAAAAGGGATGGACCTCACCCAAACAGACTGGGATCACAAATGCTAGCTGCAAACATACAGCATGTGGTGCAGTCTTCAGCACATAACTGACTATTTACATTCCACACTCACTGTCTTCCTCTCCCCCTTCCTGTTTTGCAACAGGCCACTGCCCTGAGCGCTAGCCCCCCCTACTGTTCTCCCCATGAATCTGTCACCTTTACCAAATTTCTTTCCTATTGAGACTGTGGTTACTGAAACGGCTGCTTTTCAAGTGAAAACGCTCTGTTTTGCGCAGCAGATCAGACCCTCACTTCCTGTGCCCCTTGGCCCGGGCTTCTGCTAGTGCTTGCAGAGGGCCTGCACCACTGAGGATGGCCCTAATAAATGCTTGATCCATCACAAATAAATTGTTTATACTGAACGATATTTTCACCAGCAAGGACATGGATTTAATGTTTCTGACTGAAACCTGGCAGAGAAGCATTTGAATTATGTCCACTGGATTGTTCCTTTATCAGCACTCTTAGGACCTCTGGCCGGGGTGGAGGTCTTGCGATGGTCTCCAAAAACTGCTTTCAAATCCGGAGGGTGACCACAGGGGTTTTCTCTTCATTTGAATTACATGTGACCAAAGTGGGATGTTCAAACCCATTTTATTACATCTTAATTTACCGACCCCCTGGTTCTAACAGCTCTATTATGTCTGATTTTAGAGATTTTTTATCAACTATTATACGGTTGGAGTAAGTGGTTATGATCTGGGATTTTAATATTCACATTGATGATGCTTCCTGTAATTTTGCTGCTGAGTTTTTAAGTATCACTGAATCATTTAATTTTGTTCAACATGTGTCCGGTCCCACACACATTAAGGGCCATACATTGGACCTTGTTTTTACCCTTGGGTTAAATATTGATTGTATTTATTCGGAGGAACTGCGTATCACTGATCATAACTGTGTTTTGTTCAACCTCTCCTTTAATTTGGACTCTGTGCCCATGTAAGTAGCTCCCGCATCATAAACAGTCTCTCAGCTGAAAAGTTTTCTGCAGCTTTTGACCAAGACGTAGTTCTGTCTGACCATACTGATATTAATAATCTTGTCCAATTCACATTACACTGCAGTCTTGGATCAAGTGGCTCTGAGTAAAACGAGACTTGTCCCCTCCACATACCCTTCCCCCTGGCTAAATGACACCATTCTGTGTTTTAGGCGTAAATGTAGGAAGGCAGAGCAATCCACTAAGCTTCAAGTTACCGCCTGTATTATAAGGACCTTTTAACTGAGTTTAACACTATGGTTAAGGAAGCGAGAGCTTTTTATTTTTCAAAATTTATTTCTTCCAGCAAACACAACCCTAAAGTCCAGTTTGACACAATTAACAACATGTTAAATCCTGCACCTCCTGAAGTTCCTGTTTTTTCAAACGATGAATGTAACACATTTCTCTTTTCTATCTTTCTCTTTGTGGACAAGATTAGAGATATCAGGGCTAGCATCATCCCCTCCACTACATCTGTCTCTGATTGCCCTTCGCGGCCACCAATCTTGTAACATTTTAATCCCATTTCCCAAAAAGACCTCACTGATCTGGTGGCCGGTAAGGAATCCTCCTCAAGCCCTGTAGATATTTTACCCACCGCATTTGCTCCAAAATGTGACTGGGACTGTTGGGTCATGTTTGGTCTCTATCACTAACAGTTCCCTCAACTTCGGTTTTGTTCCACTTTATTTCAAACATGCAATAATTCAACCTCTTCTGAAAGAAAACTATCTGGATCCATCCCTGTCCAAAAATTACAGGCCTATTTCCAAGCTGCCATTCATCTCAAAAATACTAGAGAAAGTTGTTGCCAATCAGCTCACTGACACTCTCACTGCCCACAATATACTTGACAAGTTTAAATCTGGTTTCTGTCAGAATTATTCCATAGAAACAGCACTTCTTAGGATCTCAAATGACATAGCGATGGCTTCTAATGCGGGGAAGTGCTCTGTTTTGGTGCTGCTCGATCTTAGTGCAGCATTCGATACAATAGACCATAGCATCCTGATTGATAGGCTTAGGAAGTGGGTGGGTATCTCCAGGAGTGCTTTGGACTGGTTCTCTTCCTACCTCTCAGAGAGGAGCTTCTCTGTGTCACTGGGAACTTACATGTCCAAAACTGCTGCTCTATCCTGTGGTGTGCCACAGGGTTCTGTCTTGGGCCCGGTTTTATTTATATGTATATGCACCCCTTAGGCAACATTATTAGTAATTTCAAGGGTATTTCTTATCACTGTTACGCTGATGATATCCAGCTGTGTGTCTCTTTTGGATGCAACTGCCCCACTGCCATTAAAAGCTGGATGGCTAAAAACTTCTTACAACTGAACACAGACAAGACTGAAGTCCTTATTGTTGCACCCGATATCATAGCTCCCTTGATCACTCAGCATATTGGATCACTTTCATCAGCAGTACAATCAAATCTTAGAAATCTGGGTGTAATGTTTGACACATTGATGCACTTTGATCGACATGTTAAAACTCTGACCAGCTCTTTCATTTAAGAAACATTGCCAATCTCAAACCTGCTGTCTCAAAACCAGAATTTGAGATGATAACCCAAGCTTTTATTTCTTCCCGCTTAGACTATTGCAACTCCCTTTTTACGTCTCTCAGCAAGTCGTCCCTGGAAATCTCCGACATGCTGCACCCGTATATTACTGCTAGGCCACTAAGATCCTCAGACCAAGGCCTACTAGCTGTACCGCGAGCACGTCTCAAAACTAGAGGTGACCGTGCTTTCCAAGTGGTTGTACCAACACTGTGGAATACTCTTCCGTCAGACCTACGCTCTGAGGTCTCAGTCGAAGCGTTCCAAAATCAGCTGAAGACTTTTATATTTAAACAGGCCATTGTCTCCATGTAAACTTTTAACTGTGAATATTCATGTTCTCTTTATAATACAAAATGCCTTAATTTTGATTATTTATGCGACTGTTAATATACACAAATACATTGATGCCTTTATAATGTTTGATGCTTATGTATGATCCACTGTTTTATGGTTGCTTTTATTATTGTTATTAAGATTGTTATTATTTTTATCATTGTAAAGCACTTTGTGACTTGCTCTGTGAAAGTGCTATATTAAATACATTTTTCTTACTTACTTACTTATTCTCCACATCTATATAGTGTTATTTGTATGAAAATGCTACTTCTGACCATGTTAAAAGCTGGAGGCGTTGTAATGAAGTGATTAGGCGTCTTACGACCACAAGGTCACATGTTCAAATTCCTCCAAGGGCTAGAAAGATACGGACAGGTAGTGTAAATATGCACCAGTGCTTTTTGATGCAACAAAGGTTCAGATGGAGCTTAGTGGTTTTGCATGGGAACCTCTGGGTGAACGTACCATTTCTTTTAACTTCTAGGTGGTTGCTGTCAGTATGAAGGCGTTTTTATTCCCTTGTTCAGTGAATTGGAGGCGAAATAAGAACTAGCACAGCTTGATACTGTACACAGTGACAGTTCTGACCTACCTGCGCAGTGCACAGTCACTCGTGAGAGGAGGTTGGTTGGACAAACAGTTTGAGGTAATCAAATCAAAGTTTTTCCACGTCATGAGCCCTGTGATCACCTCCTGTTGTTAGTCAAGACAAGAGAAGCCACATCTGCTTCAGACCAAACAATAGGAGCTAGTCGCATAAGATTAACTTCAAAATGAAAGGGACCGCTCATATTCCAAAAATGTCTGTTTTCATTATTAGAGTCTTGCAAAGACACAAGATGTCAATTGTTTCTAGTGTAAAATCTCTGAAAGGATATTACCTTGCGGTCCAGAAACTTCCTCTGTGTGTGTGGGGTCCTTATGCCACACATGTTGCTCTCAGGGGCTGTATACCTGCATACGGAAAGCAATTTCTTTCTGGGTTTGGTCAGGGAACAATCAGGCATATAGCCAGATTTACTGTATATTACTATAGACATTTATTTACTAATGTTTTGTTACCTGGACAGGGGGCAGAGGTGGAACTCCAGATCACTCTCCAGGTATTTAGGGGTCGGTTTGTAAGCCTGCAGGCCTGGAGCTGGGTTCTAAAGCAGATGATAACATAATCACAATAGTAGATTTACAGATCATGTATCATGTACAGAAAAACACATAATGTTGTATTTCAGTCTTGACCACCTTACAAAGATTCTGAGTGGGTTTGCAGGAAAAGGTCTGAGCAGAGCTTCAGGGGCGCTGAAGGTGAGACTGGCAGCCTCCTTTGCTTCCATATTCTCCTCTTCATGTCCATGCTGCTTTCTCTCCACCTCACTGGGCACCAGCTCGTCCTGAAAAGTGACAACAACACAATGAGAGAAATTTTAAAAAGCAATGAAAGAACAAATGCGAGTAGATCAGAGGAGATGAGTTAATAAATATACTATATATAGATTAATGATGATGAATGATGATACAAATGAATAAATATCAGGTTAAATTTGTTTGTTTTAGTTTAGGTGTTGCATCGTTACCGGAGCTCTAGTGCGAAGTGGTCTGGCCAAAGTAGTGGGTATATAAGAGTTAAATGCCTCCCAGGCTGACACAGGTCGGTAACCCATTAGCTTATAGTGCTGAGGAACCTAGAGTGACAACACAGTACCAACAAATTACATGGTTATGATAGCAACAGAACATAGACAGATACAGAAATGCCTTGATGCCTGACTCATAGAATGCCACCAGCAGATATGAGAAACACCCCAAGCTCCATCATTTTGTTCTACGCTACAGTATGTAGTAAATAGCTTGAACAAAGTTTTTGGTATGTCCATTTTGTAAAGCTTCAGGGCTTCTTCTTCTTTAAGATAAACAAAATCACACAATCTCATCTTAGATATTCAAATACGAGGTCACAAGTTTAAATTATAAAATGTGTAATTAAGATTGTCCGGGCATAATTTTTTATTAATTATGCCCGGTAGATGGATATACTCAGGTAAAATACAAGTGCATCAAACTTTTACTCAACTAAATGTACTTAACTTTCCACCACTGCTGCTTGTTACCTATCTGTTGATTTATAAGCGTGATGACCAGGTGCTGCAATATAAACCTACTTCAAGCTTGAAGAAAGGAATATGAGCTGTCACAGTCACATCGATAGGATCCACGGGCACTGGAGCTAAATCACTGAGAGCCTATAAATATCAAGGAGACAAATGGCAATATTTGTTCAATTGAACACGGAGACCTCTTGTCTGCAAGGCATCAGGAAAATAAAAGATTTAATCAAAGTGCAGGAACTGAGCTTCCTGTGTGATTCCACAATTAGATCAAAGACATCTTTCAAGGGAAATAATGAATGAAAATTGTTTTGTGTGCAGGACTATAGCTGGCACTCTCTCGTCAGTGGTTTCTCATCTTCCATATGGCAGCCGCCATTTAGGTCGTTTTCATTTCAATAGGCAAACTGATTTGCAAAGAAGGCTGCTGTGTTATATGTGTTGACAGCAGGTACGGTATATCTCCAGCCTAACTAACTTTGTGCAAGTGCAGTATACTGTATATTACTTAGCATGTACTCACCAGCGGGTCATCTTCATCAGAGAAAATGGGGAAAGCAAAGGGAAAGACTCTATCCGGCGAGATCATCAGATCACAAGTCGTCTCCTCTTTAACAAAAAAAAAGTCAATAAATAAAGTTTAAAAACTTATTTATTAGGGTCAGTGAGAAATATACGACTCCACACAGCACCAGAAATAGCCCTGAGTCCTGCAAACATGTTCTAAGAACCTCACAATAACCCTGAGGGGATTTAATTTCAATTTTACCTCTAGGAATAAATTCAATTAAGCATGCTTTGCTGACATGGCATAATGTGATTATTTCTGAATGAGGAGATCATAGGATTATCAAACCTGTCTTTGCCGAGGGCAAGTTGTTTATACTGTCTGACAGTTTCTTCAAACAGGTCAGTCTCCGGTTCATGCGACATCGGATCACCACCTGGGTGGGAGAGAAGAGCGCAGGGTGTTACTGGTCCATTCACATCCACCTCTTCCAACCTCAGAGTAGCAAACGAGCACACTGTGGTAAATATTCAATGGTTACTTAAAAGTCGTGATTATTGTTTTTACAAACTTCACAGGATTAGTTAGCTTTTTGGTATTCCGAGTGTTGAATCATTGTTCAAATTTAACAGCGCTATTGCAACTTGCAATATTCCTATAGTAATCTGTTTCTCACACCGTCAAAGCCAGGACAAACTAATACCTAATGATACCATAATCTTCCATCAGACACAAAGTACACGATCTTGGGATATAGTCATGTGAATATCTCTTCTTTGTAATTAGCAGATCATGATAACTACATCTAATTACAACATAGTTCTGTGTACTGAGCTAAGCAAAACAACCTGGAGTTACAACACTGAGGGTTATTATAAATCTCATCCTCCCAGATCTATATTAACATAATGTAATGTGTTCTGGATGGATATCTCCACGTTCGTGCCATAAATATGAAAATATTTTTAACTTTAGAAATCCATTTTGTCTGAGACTAACTCAATTTTCCTGTAACACAGTTCTATCTATCTTATATCTCTCCACCTTGAGGGGAAAGTGCATGATTAGGGGAACCCCATACCTCACCTCACCTCCTACAGTTCCAGGATTCCTACAGTATCAGCTGGTCAAATAACTCACACTGGCTGTACAGATAAGCTCAGTCTAAAGGATCTGAATATCAGAGCATTGCTTGATTGACTTATTTTGTAATTGCTTTATCAATACAGCCATTAGAATTAAATGTTATGCTTAAATATTCACAGTCAGAGATAACTGCATGCACTTCCTGTGGCTTTAAGAAGCTATGTCAGATTACTCTGTTTTTAATGGAATGCACTGTACCCAGGAAAATCAACTCTACTGTAAAAAAAAAAAAAAATATATATATATATATATATTCAGTGTGAGGGATTTACACATGGCTGGACTAAAGGGCTACAGGGACACTAGCCGTCTTCTGAGCGAAGAGGAAAGCATGTGTATGGGTGCAATGTCTGAATGCCCGTGCATGTGTGCATTTGTACTTCAGAGTCGTTACGGTACTTTGATGTGTTTACCTTGCGTGCTGCCTGCTGGAACAGTCTGAGGGCTCTCTGTCTCAGTTCCCACGGAAAACTGGAGTAAAACTGGAAGGATGGGGCTCCCTTGCAGGCCTAGAGGAAATTAGACATTTATTGCTGACTTTCATATGCTCATTTAGCATCGTTACATTTAGTGCATATGAAAAGGACCATAAAGTGAAAATTTCATGAGGTCTCAGCTTGGAGCATTTAAATGGCATAAGATAGTGGGACAGTTAAAGATGTTAGATTGAGATAAATTGCAGGAGGGGCCGTAAGCAATAGATTTGTTTAATCTAAGACAACGGAGAGCCAGGTTTTAATGAAACTCTTCTTCTGCAAAGAAGAATAAAAGAAAATCCATCATGCAGATGTATTATGACTAGGTAGATACTTACCCATACATTCACAAAGACAAAATATGAATCTATTACACATCAACTGATTTAGAGAGATACTGAGTGTGACACATAATTAAAGAAATCCATCACGACAAATCATACAGGAAGGTTCTTGAGTTTCACTTTATTAGAGAGGCAAGCTGCATGAAATGTAAAAGTTCTAAATCTAACTCGGAAATTAGTAAACACATGCAGTAGAAGTTTACCTGTCCTGCTTCACAAAGCACTCGTCTGGAGGAAAGTTTAGGTTGTCCAGCAGCAAAGTCCTCCTCATGCCTTACATCTCCCCTTTTTACCTACAACAAAATCAGTTAGCACAGCATGATGAAGGTCTGTAAAGCACACATAGGTATTATTTGTAGAGGAGTCAAAAAATATTGACAATGTCAGCATGCTGGTTTTTAGCAGGTATAATTCTTACCACGGTAACCACCTTAGTTTAGCGTGTATGAGCAAACACAAAGTATAATTTGCAAGTATAAACCAAAGTATTGGACAAATTGAATTGTCATATTATTCTATCCAACAGCTGTTGAGATATTTTAGTCCAGACCAAAGTGGTGGACTAACCTGATGAAAATTCCTAAAGCAACTGAATGCTATTGTCATTACTGTCATGAAATAGCTAACTTTGCACAGCATTTTTTCGAGTGTCACATCATGAAAATTGGTAAAGAATACTAAGGGAGATTGGTAAATGGAATAAAACCGAAAGAAGACGCTGTTCTTTCTTTTGCTAAACCATTCAGAGTTTTGGCAGTGACAGATGGTGCAAGGCCAATGGGGGGGTTCCAACATTTTTATCCTCTACAGTAGCGACGCCTTGAAATCCTTTGGCTGAAGAGGCAATATTTTCTTTGCTGCAGGAAGAAGTAAGCTCAAGGTGGTATGTCTTAATTTTCTGAAACAATAGGAACCTTGACTGCTAATCCTGCGGAACATTGTCTCATTTCTCTAGAGAAATGACATATCAAGGTATCACAAAATAATTTGACAAAGACAAAAGGTTTTTACAAAAAAAATAAATAAATTTTTTCACTATCCAAATGTTCCAACAAATGTACCACATTTATATAACCAACAAAGTCTGGGTGATGAAAAGATAACGGTGCAAAGCTGTAAACCATCACTGTGATGCAAACAGAGGAGGACACTTTATTTACGTTATTTAAGTTCTGGCCTGCAGTAAAGATTCCAAAGAAGATTCACAGTATAGAGTAAGATAACAGATCTTCCTATCATAAAATAAAATGTGTGGTGACATGAGGCTATAAATGCAGTGTATGGCAAAGAATGCATTTGCGTGCGTGGGTGCGCGCATTATAAACAGTGCAGGTGGAGAGGAGATGGGGGAGGAAGTCCGTGAGAGTTCTGTCAACTATTCAAATTATTAACTTTTCTGAGGAAACTCACACACAAACACACACACACACAGACTCAAACACACACACACAGACTCATATTTCAAAACTGATGTTACTTTGGCTGAGTATGCATATTTCCTCTGGGACTCTCAATAAAATCAATCACAGAGGCAGCAGGATTTTTTTAAAGGATGAAAATCACAGTGTGGATCTAATGTGCGACAACTGAATGAGGTTATGACATCGGTATGCATATGGTGTCTAGTATCAGTGATGAGCTACCAAAACATCCACTAAATGTCATGTTGAGTGAAAGAGGAAGAAATCTCAAAATGCCTCACATGAAAAGCCCTGAACAAACTGTAAAAGATAATACTTTCCAACTAATACTCAGATCTGGCCCTTGAGGCTCAGCATCCTGCAGAGTTTTTGTTCCTTCCAACTGTATTTGTTAATGAATGTAGACCCTGAAGGACCACAAGTCAGTCATAGAGGAACAGTTAATATGTAAAGCAGTTTGAGTTCCCACAAAGAGACACTTTGCATCAGAGGTTTTCAAACTGTGAAGCACACCTCCCCAAAGGGGGGCCGCTGATCTGGCCCGCTCACCGACATGTTCAGCATGTGGTGCTGCAGCAGTGGATGAGACACACAGCTTATGGATGCAGTAGCAATTTGCATTTAAATCGCAGTCTTTCTCAGAGTTCTAAATTAGTCAAATCTGAATACACAGACATGATACACATATTTTTTATTCAGTGTGATTTACACTTTCTGAGGATCCCATTATCTGTGAATAAACATCTATAAAATAGGAAAGTAAGACACTCAATAATCATTTCGTTTGTACGTTTCCCTCAGTATCAAAGTAATCCACTAACAGTTGTATGTACATCCCTGGGTACACTGCAAACAGGAACTGCTAATAGCTACTATGCCAAATATAGACAAATACAGGCAAAAAAAAAAAAACAAAGCTCAAGTTTTAGTTCTAAAACTCAGAGCATGATTATCACCCAAAATTAAAGTAAGACAAAGAATACTAACAAGATGGGTTTTTATAAAGGGCTGCAGTTGTCTCGCTTTTGTCTGAGTGGGGGCCCACATTGTCAGACTTTGAAAACCCCTGCTTCTCAAACAACTTGCATAGAATATCAACAAGCACAAGTTTCTGTGTCCACACTGAGGGATAAATCTTACCATGTATTCATGTAGTGCAATCTCTCTCTCCTCAGCTATCTGCCTCCTGGTGTCTTCTGTCACGGGGTCCTTACCAAGATGGACTTGCCTGAATGAATTTTTTTCTTTTTAAATAAAGTTTCCATTTAAAAAACAAATAGCTCAAACAGTGCCTTTTATGAAAACAAATTTATACACACAGATTAATTTACCTTTAAGTTCCCTCTTCAATTCCATTTAATTAGTTCCATGGCTGGAACCTCTTTTCAGTGGACATGATTTGAGTAAATATATACTGTTGTACTGGCATTCTACTAGGTCATACAATTTCTACATCCAAACAAGAAGCTTTCTGGTATTTTTTCGATGTCAATAAATGAACTCCTCTTCAGAATGTTATGACATCTGTATTTTTCATGTGTATTCTCTCCAGATACAGGATGCAGTAATTGTATCTACATATCTCCCCCCATTCTAAATAGCTAAGATTATACCTTCATTTCCTCCCTGTATACAATTTTAAATATGCTTTTAATTTAAATGTTTAATACTGGCACATAAGGAAATACGACCATACAGACATTCACAGGGATTTGAACAGACGTTTCATATTTTAGTCTGGCCTACCATCTCAGGTGGTTGGCTTGCTCTTCCTTCACATTTTGTTGAACTTTTTTTATGAAGAGGGCCTCCTTCATCTGCCCGTTTTGCAAACCAAGAATACTGCCACAAGATATGGCTGAAGTGAAGGGGATACCGTAAGTAATAGAGAAATACTTTGTCATGTGTATAATCTGAAATGCAATTTACTTCAAGGCAACAAGCTGGAAAAGATACTGTGCAAAAGGAGAATGTAACAGGTTCATATAGTTAATTTATAAGAAAGTAAAACAGCTGAAAGAGTAAAATCATTGGGTGGTGTCTACCTTCCCTCAGGTCTTTAGAGCAGAGTTTATTGGGGTCTTTGATCAGCATCTTTGCCACCCCTGCAGGGGTACACACATCTGCCGGAGGCTTCAGTCCAGGCTTAATACTATCCTTATCTTTCAATGTCTAAAAACAGGAAGAAATGTAGGATAAAAGAAATTGTCAGCAATTCAAAATAAAGCACTAAAGTATAGTTGTAACGCTGAGAATGAATGGTTTTGCTTTAACAAAGTATCAATGATTTGATAACTGATACAAAAACAAATGTGGAACCAAAATGAAAAATGTTCCTAAACAAAGCAGTTGTCATCCATAAAATAAAATAAAAGTTTTTAGAAAATAAGGTTTCTTTCTTCACTAGTCTCCTTAATCAAAAGTCAAAATGAATTAACTGAGGTAACCGACTAATAATTACATCTTGCATTACACTTAACATAGGGACCTTTAAATTTTTCATGAAGGAACAAGAAAGCTTGTTATAACTATTTTCAGCATAATAATGAATACATTAACCCTTTGATGAAGCACCCACCAACTACTTTCACTGCATTTCAAATTAGGCTAGAAGATAGATCACTGTGACTGATGAGTAAGTAAAAGTTTATTTATATAGCACTTTTTATAGACAAACAGGGGTGCTTTACTGTAAAAAGTAAACTAAAAGCAAATGAAATAACAATTGCACATATACTATAAAATACCACAGAAATTTGAAGAAAGCAAAACCATACTGCTAATTTTTAAAAGCTTGTCTAAAAAGATGTGTCTTTAAGTGTTTACTAAAAGTTTCCACAGAATCCATAGCTCTCAAGGCTAAAGGAAGAGAGTTTGAGAGCGTCAGAGCCACTACACAGAAAGCACGATCACTTCTTGTCTTAAATTGAGTTCTGGGAACAGTTAAAAGGTCTTGGCCTGAAGACCTCAGAGAGCGACCAGAGGTGTGTGAATCTAATAGATCCTGGATGTAAGAGGAAGCATGACCATGCAAAGCTCTGCAAGTAATGATTCAAATGTTTAAATGCACTCAAAAGCCAATCGGAAGCCAGACAGGAGTCGGTCCATGGAAGATTTGTTCAAACATGTGAACAGTACTTTGTAGTAAATGAAGAGTCAGGATTAAAACAAAAACTCAAATTTAAATGAATTAGAATATTTCACATAAGAAAAAAAAACTCCAGTATCAGACTGTTATTGAACCACACCGTACACTACCTTTGATTTGTCAGATGCCTTGGGTGACTTGTATTTGGTTTTACTTCGAGCAGGCACTTGGGTGGCAGGAGAAGGTCCTTTGTGTTCTGCAGGCACTGCGTCATAACACGACTTTCTGCCCAGCTCACTATCATGCAGGAAAATAAGTAAATTATTAAAGTACACCTGATATAAAAAAGGGCCAAAACAGATTCATCTTTATGTAACTTTATGTAACTAAAGACAGCAACAGACATTTTTGCAACTAATTTGAGGTTGCAAAGTCAATACTAGTAGAAAAATATAAATGAACAAACACAGCGGACGGGAATGAAACAGAGGGGAGGTGGTGGCGGGTTAGGGTTTATTTTTGAAATCATTCCAGGATCAGTTCTCATACCGTAGCAGAGGAAGAATGGCTATAAATTGGGTGTTTATATAATGATGATGGCTGGCAGGGAGGCTGAGCAGTGAGGTCAAAAGCCAGAAAATCAATGTTCATTGCATTTACATTTTTCCAGCTGTCAAGTTTTTTCAGTGTCGTTCATGTATGTATATGGGGGTGGGCAAAACATACAGTGGTATATGATCACATCTCGAAACAGCCTCACTAACCATGTGCCCAAATGACCACAAAGTTGACTCCACACTCCTCTGACACTGTATCAACAAGACCCTAAGATTATAAGTGTCACAAAGATTTACTAGGTTTACTCAAGGATTTATTGCAAGGTCATTGTAATAGAAGGTATTAGATTGATTAGATTGATGAAAAATGCAACAAAGTCCTTCAAGATATTAAAATGATTATCATCTGTTTGTTTTAAGAATAGCATGTCGGGCAGGGGGCACTTGGCAACAAGCCAGTGTCATTGCATTGGTTGAAGCTGGAAAAACATTGGCTCTAGCATAATATTCCTTAATCTTTCACTTGCGCATATCTCATCTTTTATTTGGTTCCACTGCGGGGAACAACAAATAGAGGGAGAATGTTTTATATGTTAAACATCCATCGGGAGGCATATCAATCTTGATATCACTGCACCAGCTAGCAAGCTATTTTCATGAATTATTAACTTTCGGCCGAGATAACACCAAGACAGTGCAGTGGATGGAGCTACTGCTGTGTGATGGATAGCATCCTCTTTCTCATGGGAACAGAATTAAACATTAGGTTTAATACTGGATGAAAAAAAAAACTAATGGGAACTTCTAATCAGCACACAAGGCCATTCTCTATGAATCATGTTTGGTTGCATGTTTGGTACCCCCAAATGAAGCACCTAGTTTGTTAGCTGGTTTGCACATACAACCTGAGAGCTGTTATCATTACTGGACAGCAAGTAGAGAAGGAACTCCAACTGATTATTTTATACTTGCAGGATTTTTTGTTGCTCATGAAGACTAAGTGAAGCACCATGATGAAGAACTAAGCGAGTTACATACATTAGATTGACTAGCGTATGTCTTAATTAAAGGTCCAAGCTGAAATACTATCCCACAGTTTTATGAAGTATTTTGATGTACTGACAAACCCAGAGAATGAGTGTGGAGTGAGCAAAAGCAATAGTATGAGATGGCACTGTCAGATAAGGAGCAAAATATCATGTGTTAGAGTGGAGGAAAAACACATCATGAAAATAAATTTCTGCCGGCTCCTCGTCAGCTGATATACTGTCGGGTGAGACACTGGTATCTGCAATTTTAATACCAGTGGTGAATCTAGAAAGAAGAGCTAAAATCTTAATACTGTATTTTACATTGCTGGAATATTTTATTTTTAAAAGTCAGTACAATGTCACATTGTCTTTTTGGCCAGTTAGTCCATTTTAAAGTTTAACACGTCTAATTACCTCAGGGCAAGGTGAGGGGCAGAGCTCCCAGTGATGGTACAGAGGTAGGGTTTGGTATTGAACTGTGAGATGATCAGCTGGATGGTGACCTGAGAAGTCTCATATTGGGATGGACTAAAGGTCACAACGATCTTCACTTCACCATTGGCTGGTATCACACCTAGAAGAGCAAGGAAATAGGAATGAATGCCTGATGTGTATGTACTTGGCCAAGGGCAGTGATTCCTAACCAGGGGTCCTTGTGCACCGCAGATTACATCTGCAGTAAGATACCAGCAACATTTGGGTACAGAAATCCCCCAAACTAAGTCAGTTGTAACACAACTTGCTGCTATTGGGCTTGCATGGAAACTAGTTAGCAAGGTGTACAGAACGTGTAATAGTTTTCTGAAAGTAATGGATACATGATATAAATAATAAGTAGCTAAAAGTACTGGATGTAGAGTGGAAATAATTAGCCAAAATAATGGAAAAAAGGTAAGAGTAGCTAAAAGAATTAGCTAAAAGTAATTTATAAACAGTTGGAATAGCTAAAACTACTGGATAAACATGGTCAAAATAGTAGCTAAAAGTAATTTATAAACAGTTGGAATATTTGAAAAGCTACAACCTAGAAATGGTTAAAATTGTTCATAGTAATGGATAAATAGTTAAAATAATTAGCTAAAAGTAATTTATAAACAGAGAATTAGTTACCTAAACATTGACAGTTGAGTTGTATTGAAAATTGCAATATCCACATCTATATAAGTAATAGTTTTAACTAATACTGATGGGTGGTGTCTGATCAGGATGTGGAGGTATATCAGACAAACTCTAGCTAACTGTGGTGATAAATTACATCTAAAAAACACTGTTGGCTGATGTGTGTGTGACTAAATTTTTTTATATTGTGAGCTGCAGTAGTGGCCATGGCCATGGTTTATGGTGTATGTAGCGAGGAAAAAAAAGACAAAACATAAAAGGCAGTTCCAAAATATGCAACTCATTTGTATCTCTTCTTCTCATTCCAGATTTGTACTGAGTTAAAAGCTGCAGCTGTAATTCAAACCCCAAACGCCGGTTCCGCCATGTGTTATGACGCTTCCCAGACCATGAATACTGTACTTAGTACTGCTGTGTGGAAACTGGAGGCATCCTTCAAGTTCTGTGGTGACTTGTTTAATACACAATACAAACCAGTCCAAGCTTTTGAGAAAACACAGTACCCATGTTCTCCCGATGGGTTAAGTTCTTAAGCTGGTAGGCTAAATGAGAACTATCAGTGGAATAAATAACTTAATGCATCTATTTTACCTTAAAGGTAAAGTTTGAAATGCATCACAGTGAAGTAAAGATTACAAAATAACGCAGAAAGCCAACATGTTAAGAAAACTAAATCTGTAGAATCATGTGCACACCATTTCTTTTGTTTAATTAAAGTATTTCACTAGTCCATACCTGTAAGAGGGTGGATGGAGAAGGCCTCATGGGGCTCAATAACATACACCTGAAACTCAAAGTCAATGGGACAGCTGCATCTCAGAGGAATAGCACGGCAAACACTAGAGGCAGATGGGGGGGGAAAGAGATGAGATTATTTTCTTTCATGATTTGACACCAACGGGTGAATGGAAGCATGGCTGGTTGTATGGAAAAATAGAAAGAGACAGGCAAGTCCCTTTGGCAATTAGGAGGTCACTAAACAGTCCATTGAAGATCCCAACACACATGCTGCATGGTATACACACACACACCTTTGTCCAAGTGGTACGGACGATAGGTCGATATGAGGAGGGATGTGCAGGTCATCGATGACAGGGTAAGCATGAACTGGAATTAACAGGTTCTCTTCCCCCTTGGAAAGAGCGCAGGTGGATTGAATGAACAAGACAGGGAGAAAACACGCGAGAGGATGAAAGGGTGAAAGAGAAGAGCAAATATAAGAGAGGTCTCAAAGTAAACACAGAAACGTATCATCAAAAGAGATAAGCAACTCGGAATTGTTCCTCATGGATTGTTTGCTGGACTTTATGACACTGTATGTTACATGAGCTAGCTTTAGGGTGTAGTGTCTTTCCAGTAAGTGCCAAAAGCTTTAAGTGTAAAGCAAACAGCATTAGCACACAGCAGGAAAGCGACCACAGAGGCACACAGTACAAACTGCAGGATACTAACCTTGCAGTGAACCCGTACGCAGTCATAGAAGTACCGCCACTCGTCGGGACAGAATCTGACCTTAAGTGTGTATGCGAGGCCTGGGATGAGGCGGTACTTGAGAGAAAAGAGATGGAACCAGGTTGATTCATCGGAAACAACATTGATTGCACTAATTCAAATTCATTCAGGTCAGCAATTTGTAATGAAAGAAAAATACCTTTTTGGTGTAAGTTGTTTGGAAGTGCTTGGTTTGGGTGGGAATGATATGAATATTCATTACCTCAGATGAGATGTTGATTAGTTTCTGAGGGAGAGGAAGAGGAGAGAAAAGGGTAATTCATTTCCATCCAATCATGTGCACTTGAGAAAACCATCTCCATATTCTTGATGCTTACATCCAGTCTGCAGCGCTTCATCACGCATATATGGGGTGAAATAAGTGTCCATTCAATTAAACATATCCTCAATGGAAACCAAACTAGAGGACTTTATGATGGGGTAGGATTGAACAATTATTTTAATACATTACTGCAATTTAAAAATAAATAAAAACTTGCTTTTGGTGGGTGCACAAAGTTTACCAAAGCTCTGTCCAGCATTTACTGTGCAGGAAAATTCCATATCCAAGATTTAAGAGAGTTTGCACTCATATACAGCACTGGATTAGACATTTCACCTGTACCTCTTCACCACTTCACCAAACATTCATTGTGAAAGACACCACCGTTTGTCTACAAAGACTTATGTTATGGCAAGCCTGTCAGAGCCCAGACACCTTGAAAATGTTTGCTCACAGACACTTTAAATCTCCAATAGCTAAACAAGCCATGGAGAGCTTCAGGGACTTCAACTTCTCCCTGCACCAGGCTGTTGTTGGTATTGTGGTTTGACACATCAGGGTCGCCAAATGTCTCAGACATGTGGATATGATGCACATAAATATGATAATTCATATCTTCATGAATTCATGTCTTGAGAGGGACTCTTATTAACCCAATGATCCAGCAGGACTTGATGAACAAACACTTGGCTAACCTTACAACTAACCTTGGCCACTCTGCTTTTTTATACAGCCCACCTTGAGTCAAGACAAAGCAGAGTGTTGGTTTTGCCTTTTATTTACAGGGCATGCTACTACCTGATAAGGTACTGACCTCTGTCACATTGCAAGGCAGGCTGTGCACATTCCAAAATAAACTTGTATTTGTCCTGTATTTATTGTACTGTATTATACTGTGTTTTCTGTATCTATTGTCATAAACTTTATAGTTCTAATTTATTTGTATTTCGCACCAAGCACTTGTGGTCACAAAGGAATGACATAAAAAGTGTACTACTATATTTTAGTGAATGACAGTGAAATATTAATGGTTAAAAAAAAACTACAGCAGTATTTTCCTCACCAGGACCTTTATGTAATCCTTCCCCAGCTCAAACCCACTGAAGTGGAGCACAGGGGGCTCTGCTTCAATCAGGCTGTTGCTTTTCAGTTTGGCATAGATTTCTATAACAAAAAAAAACAATTACTGAAATGTAATAAGCAATTTGCATATCAAAAAACAGTTTGAATGCCGGCTTTTCACATCTGCAAAGATGTTTTACATACATACAGAAATTCAAAAATTTTAATGTCAGCTATTTGGATGGTTCCATGATAACAAAGATGATTCAACCAACCCAATAAAAGTAACAACATAATAGTATTAAACAGTATTAAGGGATCCTATCAGAGGGTTTCAGAGGTCATACTTGATTCCAGTAGATGATTGGGAAGTTTGGTTCTGCTCCTGCTGTCCTCCACCAGCTGGCTCAGAGGCTGGGGAGTCCTCCTCCTGAGGGGCTCTGAAAGTATCTGCGGGGCAGAGAGGGCCACTTCCATCCTAAGAAAAGGTCAGCTCTGGCTCCTCATGAGAGAAATGACAGAAGGCTGGAAGACAGTCAAGGAGACAGCAGTGTGTTGGGAAATATTATGTTGGTAGACCTATGAATTCATAATCCAAATACAAAAGGAAAGGCATGGAAGGACAACTGATATTTTCATCCGTGCAATTAACAGTAGAGTTAATTCGGTGAGTTTACTTACATAGTGTATACAATGATATGCTCTGTGTGTGTGTGTGTGTGTGTGTGTGTGTGTGTGTGTGTGTGTCTCATACTGTTGATATGAAGATGAAGTAGATGGATTAGGTATGCATAATATTTTCATATAATGTTATATATATATTAAATTAGGGCGGGGCAAAGTGGCCAAAAATGTTATCATGATTAAAAATGTAATTGATAATTATCACGATAAACGTCAAATTATTATTTCTTAAAAGTTTAAAGGCAAATCTTTGCTTCTGTGTGAAGAAACCAGATGGTTAATTGTGTTTTTAAACTATTATTTATAGTCAGACTTTATGCCAAACAGTGGATCACTTCAGAAATCTGAGGTAGAATATTCAAAACAATTATGATTAAACCTTTTTTCAACAAATATGCATGAGTAAAAATAAGGTTAAAAAAATAGTCCCTTTTCCATAAGAAAATAAATATCTTAAAAACTACGTTCTAATTCGAGTTCAAATGATTTAAATCAAACATTTATTATATTGTAAATTATTTTGCTATAATTATCATTTTATTGTCCAGCCCTATTTTAGATGGAGTATAAGCAGCTGACTTCACCATCATTCTGAAGAAGACGACACTATAATAAGATCAAGTCCCTTTATAACATCAACAGTTGGCTATAATAATTGGACATGTGACAAATCACAACTAAGAGCAACGTTAATAACAGTTCAAGCATTGTTACTTAATTTAACTAACGTTAGCGTTTCAACGTTAGCGTAAAAAGCTTCTCATGAAAAAAAAAACGTTTTATATAGTGGGACTTCACAACTTACACAAGATTTAGACACTGAGTTGCATTCAGCTGTTCAAATAAAACAGCTATATTCCATCTATGTTCGTGCCAGAAGCACTTCTTTTGCACACCGTCTGTTGTTGATGGAAATGAACCCACTGTCAAACACTCGTTGCCATAGTGACGCTGGGGCTCTGACGGGGCGGGACCAACGCCCCATGGGGGTGAATATGATTTGTTAACTGCTTAAACTGCGTCACGTCGCCCAAAATGAGACCGGAAAATAGCAATTCCACCGTCAAAATAAAAGCCTAAACTACAAACGTACATTTCCGCATTTAGCTGACGCTTTTATCCAAAGAGACTTATAATTGTTATTAATTGTTGAGTTCGCACGCCTCGGGAGCAACTAGGGGTTGAATATCCTGCTCAGGGACAGGTGCGTATTGCTTGCTGTAACTTGTTTGCTACGTGTATTTATGGATTGACAACATATTGGACAAATTAGCAATTTCATTTTATTTTACTAAATATACAATTTCACACTGATTTACGTGTGTCCATGAATAAAGACTTTATTTTGAAAGTCACGACAGGACGTTTCCATTTCATGATAGCTACCTTGATGCGCTTATCAGATTGTCCTGAATGCCCAATTAGAGACACTCAAGCCTATGTTTGATTTTCAGAGCTCATGTACCTGCAGCATGGCAGGATGCTTGCTTTTCATTGTAATCAGATATGTGGCTTGAGGTTGGACGGAGGCACCTATCTTGATGGAAAAAAACGAACCTGTCTGACACCATGAAAAAAGCTGGACTTATTGGAGTTTTACTATTACCCCAGGTGAGAAAACAGATGCGTGTTTGAGTTGAATCTATGCAAAATCTTAAGATCAAGTGCATTATTGTCTCCTTTTTTACAGGTTAAATCATCATCAGGGTGTCATCCTCATGTTAATCTTGTGAAAGAGGAGGAAAAGTGCATTAAAGATCTGCTACTTTTGAAGTCACACAAAGTAACAGGTGAGTTAATCCAGTTTCTAAATTGTATATTTTAGGCCTATTGTGTTATCTTATACTTAAATATTTAGTAAATGAAGATTGCTGCTCAGTGAAAATATCCATTGAAAAAATATTGGTGATGTCTGAAATGAAGGAAAACTTTGAAGTAAGCCTTTTTAACCTACAGATTTGAAATGTTTTAGTGACACCTAGTGTTCACATAACATCATACACCCTGAAAAACAAAAAAAAAACTTTCAAATGCAGACAGAACGCATTTTATATTGAAGGATCAAGATCAGGCCTCTCTTAAATTTTTTATTGACTGTTTTGTGTGGAGTAAATAAAAAAAAGATACAATTTCTGTCCCATCTATTAAGAAAACAATATCAGTGTACACTGTAAGGGAATGTGGGATGACCTTAACTGCTGGCCACCTGCTTCTCTTGGGGAAACTGTCTCTCAACCATGTCCAGAGTTTTTCAATTCAGAAGGTGAGATACTACACATGCACACACACACACACACACACACACAAACATGACAAACATTAACAAACAGACACCCATTATCTAACACATTGCACTGGTTAATTATTTGCCAGGAAACTAATTTGTTTTCATAAGGAACTGAGATAGCTTCTCCCTCTCAGGGTCTCTATCCAAACATTCAGCCATAAAAATGGTTGTGTACACAGACACGGGGTAACACATTTTGGAGTAATACATTAACGATAGGAGGATGATAGATTTCATAATAATTGATCTGAGCTTGAAGAGAGAGTAATAATTTGCAGCTTTTTGCTGTCCAATAAATAATAAAAGTATGCGAACACAGATCTACACGCTATACACGGCAGGAAAAACATACTCATTAGACATAATTTTGCAGGATGTTTATTTTTGTGTCACATTCACACTCAGAGAACAGTGACAGGCTGAGGATTGCTATTTTGCAGGTAAAGTGCATCGCAACTGCACTGCCGATGGCTGGACAGCCCCGCTCGTCCCACATGAAGATGCATGTGGCTACCCTTTCAATGATACGTTCCACTTTCTTGGAGAGGTTGGTAGTAACTAATATGCACACAGTATGTGTAATTTAGGGCTGCACGATATGGTTAAAAGAAATCATATTGCAATTATTTTGACACCTATTACAGTTTACAGAAATGATTCACAGTTGGTGGGAATAATACTTTTTGCATCACAATTTTTATTTTCACTAAAAAAAACTATTACAATCAGGATGATGTGACATTTGTTGGGGTCTGTACCGAACAAACATGTTTTCTTATATCAGGAGAACAAGATTTGAAGGCAGGGGAATCTCTGCAGCACTACAGTACATCATTATAATGATGTCTTGTAACACATTTTACCTTCGTCTACAAATCACAGCTGCGAGATCAGAAATTGATCCATTTGGTCCAATAAAATTTGGCAAGTCTAGAAGAGCAGCACAGTTAAACCACATTATATTCATTCAAGTTAGTGGAGGGATAAATCGACATGACGCAGAAGCAATGTAGAAGATCCTGGTAATTTTCTACAATGGATGATGAACTAGTTTGGCTTAATGCGCCACTAAGCAACTTTCATAGGAATGAACAGGGCCCTACCCCTGATGCTCTCTTAATACATCCATGCTTGAGCCAGGAGGCAATCAGCTTAGCTTAGCAAGAGGAACAGCCAGGTTAAAAAAAAGAAAAAAAAGGAAAAAAAACACATACTACAGGTGCTGGCATTTAGATTTTTTTCATCTTTGGATCTTTGGAGTCAGGCTAGCTTTTTCTTCCTCCTCTCAACCTTTATGCTAAGGTAATCAGTCAAGAAACCTTTCTTTAATCATAACTTATTTTCTAGGCTTGCTTCCTAATTACCCAAAACATATGCTGCACACGCTTGAGCTGAAACACTGTATACAGTCACCAATTAAATCATGCGTGTGACAGGTTGCTATAGGCAAAAAACTTAGGCGTCTCAAGTCCTCGCACAGTGGTCTGTTTTAATGATTGGTAGTGTTGATATATTGTCAAATCATGCTGTTGGAGGCAATAAATTCATGCTCTCTTTCCCTTGTTCAGTCCTCAGATTCCCATTTGTATTTCTCCTACGTGAAGACCATGTACACAGCTGGATACACCCTCTCTCTTATTTCTCTCACCATTGCCATCACCATATTCTGTCTTTTTAGGTGAGATACATTCTTTCTTAACCCTTTTTTCTCTCCTCCAAGGATAAGACTTTTGTGAAATGCTATGACCCTTTGCTTTATTGCATTTCATAGATGTAGGCCTACATGGAATCACGGTTGAACCTTCCCTGAAAACTGCAGAATGATACAATAACATTAAACTGTGAATGTTGATGTTTCTTCAGAAAGCTGCACTGCACCAGGAACTACATTCACATCCAGCTGTTTATCTCCTTTATCCTGAGAGCTATCTTCATCTTCATCAGAGACACTCTGCTGTTTACTAATGAGGAGCTCTACCACTGTGAATACTATCCGGTATGGATGGACAGACACTTTCTTGTCATATTCACTTTTACATGTCTCCTCAGTCTATGAAATTATGCAGCAATCTAACATGAACACATGTAGGCTAAATCACATTCAGCATGTACATAATGCTCAAAGCAGTGATGGGAATTACGGCTCTTCGAAGCGAACCCGATCTTATGCCTCCCAAAGGGCTCATCTTTTAGTACCATATCTGTTGATCCCCTTCCTAAGTTACATTCTTATTTGTTGCACGAAATAAATATGTAAGATTTTTCATCCGCAATACACTGAAATATTCTCTGTCATATTAATGTTTAAAAAGTGCGGATCTGTGAGGCTGTAATTAGGTGTTAAGGTGCTTTGAGCTAAATGTGCTTTTGGGTGTTACTATATGTTCGAGACAAATTATAGCCAATGGGAATGTTGTCATTATGTCATTGTCATTAGCGTTGCAGGTATGTTGTGGTGACGCCAGATGAACTGTCATAGTATCTTAGGAAACATTCTTTGGGCACCATCCACTAGTTGTTGAGATATGACCAACCGCATAGCTAATAAGAGTATGCCATAAGATGGTGCTGTTTAACTTCATTAGGAATCAACAAAAAACAACTTTTTGGCTGCAAACAGAAAGGTGTTTTTTACATAGGAGTGCTTGATTAACACACCTTCCTTCCTGTGCGGCAGGCAGCATGTAAGGTTGTGCTGATGTTTTCCAACTACTCCATCCTGGCAAACTACAACTGGCTGCTGGTCGAGGGTCACTTCCTCTTCACCCTTGTGAGCCGCTCCTTCTTCTCCCTGAAGAAACACCTCGTCTGGTACATCGTCTTAAGCTGGGGTAGGGAGACTCATACACATATTGACAGTTCAGTATAGCAAATTCTGCCTTTTGACATTGATCCAAGATTTATTACAGGTTTACCACTGATTGTCATTTTCTCCTGGGGGTGTGCCAAGTATTTTTATGAAGACGAAGGGTAAGGGAGAAGTAAAATCAGTTTCACTCATTGTGCAGTTATGATCTATCAAAGTATGTTTTTAAAATGATTTTTTTTTTTTCATTGCCAAAGCTGTTGGGAAACCAGGAAACATGAATGGATTTGGTGGATACTTCGAGTGCCAGTTCTTCTGACTATATCTGTAAAAACTTGCTTAATCGTTTACTTAAATTTCATTCTTCTTTAAAATGTTATTAAAAAAATAGTTTGACATTTGGTTTGATGAGAAGATTTATACCACTGTCAAATATTTAAGCTACAGCCAGCAGTCAGATATCTTAATTAGCCTGTTAGCCTGCTCTCTCTAAAGGTGAAAAATCATCTTTTCAGCTAATCTAAAGGTCAGATTTAGTGTACATAAATGACATTGGGATCAATCTTTTCATTTAGCTCTTGCCAAAAAAAATTAATAAGCGTATTTCCCACAATGTTTAAACTATTTGCATTACAAACTAGTGTAACAATAGTGTTCACAGGTTTCAATCATTTCAGATGAATCTCATCTTTTTCATGGGCATTTTGAGGATACTGGTGAACAAACTCAGAATGCCAGATGCACAGAGGAATGAATTCTGCCAGTATAAGTGAGTACTGATCACCTGTGGTATTGTTGCACTGTCATACTATATATCTCGTATGTAAAGTTTAGGCCTGTTGTGTTTACAGTAAAACTTTAACAGCCATGGGCTTTTATTTGATTTAATCACTGAACTCAGCCTGCCTATATCTGCAATAAAACTTGCTCAGCAAAGATGGGAAATGGGAAGAAACATGTAACATGTAGACTAACCTCATGGAGGGAAAGAAAGAGACTTATGTATTAAAATACCAGTAGCATCTCTTAGAAAGGATTAAAGCAGAAGGTTACTGTGCCATGTCAATACTGACAAAAGTTTAAACATTTATATTTGTACGCACGATCTAAGCATCTTAGAACCAGCTCAAGTAGGCGACCCAGAGGGCTTTAAGATGGTTTATACATCCAAAGAACTTCTATAGAAAGCAGACCCGGCTTCTAATTGAGACCTGCATTTATTTGTCAAAACGTGTAGCCACACCTTGCCAGAAAAAGGGACTGGTGTCTAATTGAGACTAGGCTTTTAAATGAAGTGTTACGGTATATGTGAAAAGGCATTGTCTGAGGAATGGGCCATGTATTTTGCAGAGGATAAGGTAATACTGTAAAGATCGCTCCTGGTTGCTTTGTAAATGAGGGTAAAAATACACACACACACAAGCAGGTTAGTTTTACAAGGACAGACTCTAATACAAAGACATTATAGGTTAATGCCTGTTAGGGAGTATCTTACTATTTTACCAAATATTAGGTGGTTTCCATATCAATCACTCAAGCATTCTTGTAGACAGAGATTTATAGAGATGCTTCAGCAGATGGGAAAACTCTATTGTTTTTATTATTAATGAGGGAAAACACTTTCCTGTTTCTTTCACCAGGAGGTTGATCAAGTCCACATTTTTTCTGGTGGCTCTGTTTGGCCTGCATTACATCCTTTTTGTCTTCTTACCTGTTGAAGTCAGCAGCTCAGTGTTTAAGATATGGACCTTTGCAGAGCTGGCACTGTCATCCACACAGGTAAACTAGAGGATATGTATGAGAGAGACAGATGTCCAGTCAACTCTGAATAATGACAAATAAAAAGACACTCACTGACCTCTCTCTCTCTTCACATCTCTAAGGGATTTGTGGTCACTGTGCTCTACTGCTTCACAAATGGGGAGGTAAGAACTGGTTAGTCATTAGAGCCAAAACTTATTGCGCCAAAAGGTCAAAGGTGGTGTTTTGAAAGTGTGCACCAATCTCGGGTTCTGTGACATGTCCATTTCCAGGTGCAGCATGAGTTTCACAGGAGGTGGAGGAGGTGGAGGCTGACTCAGCACCTCCCCAGTCGGCCCAGGCAGCATCACAGCTCCATCAGCCACAGCGCGTCTCCTCACACACAGGTCTCCCTGCTGCCCTGCTCTCTAGGCAGCCTGCCAACCAGTGGACTCCCTGTAGATACTGTGGATACTGGCTCATATTCTCCCTTTCCTTGTCAATATGTAATGGATTCTAGCTTAGCGCTGACAACAAATTAGTCCACAACTGCAGCTTGAGTGTTTAATACAGCGGAATGCATATTTTTCAGATCCCTGGATTGTTTTTATTTGATGACAGAAGGATGTAAAATGCACCGTCGAGGCCCAATTAGTAAGCCGTCAGGCTTACTTGGCAATGATTTTTCATGTTCAAATGTCACAGATATTTAAACTTACCATCGGGGGCTTAAATATGCAGCAAACTTTATTCACCCATGTTCAGTTTAGTGTTGTTGTGTGATCATCTTGGAGGCTGCAGTATGAGGCACTGCTGAGTTGTTTCGGATTTTAGTTTTACATTATACTTACAGGTGTTTGTTATTTATATTTAAAACTCGTCAGATGCCTTAGCTGTTGTTTCTTGGAGAACAACAGAAACAAGTGAAGTCTGAGGTCAAAAGAACAAGTCTTTATTTTTGATAGCCAGTCTTGGACACAGATGCACTGTATTGAAACTGCTTTTATATAAAAACTTACATTGTATTTGCACTTAAAGGAATAGCTTAACATTTTAGGAAACACATTTTGTCGTTAGAAGAGAAGATTGATACCACTCTTAAATCTGTATGAAACTAGAGTCAGCAGACAATTAGCTTAGCATATAGGGTGGAGGCAGGGGGGAAACAGCTAGCCTGACTGTGTCAAAAGGCCCCCCACCCCCACCCCACTTCCACTTTTAAGTAGAGTAAGTAAAGCTAATTGCCTGCTGGTTCTCGCTTCACAATTAGCATAAAGACATATAAAGATGCTTTTTTCCACAGAAGTGTATTTCTCAAATGTTGACCTATTCTTTTACACACTTTATTTTAACCAATGTAGAGTACCAGAAAGTACTCCAAATTGCATCTAGCATTTTCATCAATTATATTTTACACAGTACCAGCAAGTGTAGCAGCATGTAAAATCAGTTGTAAAGCTTGTCAAATGTTATTGAGAGAAAAGTGGGAGATGTGGCACAGGCTCTAGATTCCATATTTTGCTTTCAGCTTCTCCACCACTTCAACATAGGCAGTCATTGCTTCATCTTTGCCCAGACCTGTTGGTTTAGAAATGGAAACAAAGCAAACCAATTGGTTTTATGATAAAAACTCTGACACAGCCATGCCTACATTTTTGCTATTGGGGAATGTAGACAATGTTCTTAACATGTGTTTCAAATCTGGCTTTGTTGAAGAATAACCTTGCCTACAACTTCATTTTAAGACATACATTATAAGTTTTACATATAGTTTTACAACTGTCTGAAGTTACATTTTTATATATATTTTTTAAAATCCTACCTTTCTTCTTATCCCACGCATTCCATTTTCCTCGTCCTGCGAGGTCAAATATCCCTGGACACTCTGTGGATGTAAAAGCAACCGTCAATAACTGGGCTTTCCAATAAGCATCACATTTTTTAGTATTTTTTACTACTGTCAATTGTTCTTATTCAAACTGTCAATGTCTATTCTAAACGATGCAACACATTTTCCCTCTTTTTAAGCTTTTAAGGGTCCCTGAAAACCTAGTTTCTCAGTGTCTTATTATGAGCAGTATTCTAAACGCACTAAGTTACATTCCACCACTCACTATGAGCGATATCCTACATCTAACAACACCCAAATTCAGTTATTTGGTTATTTGGGCACGGCTCAGGTAGAAAAAGATGATGTCACACCCAATCATGTTATTCGGGCTGAGTGAAATGATTTGCTGTGCTACCAGACTTTTTTCACTTTTGTGTATAAGCTTGATTTATTTGATTGCTGTTAGGATGTAAAGGGAATTTCAACAAATAACAAAACAACGCTTCTGAAATGCGCTTCTAACCCACCCTGTCTTTAAACTATAACGATATTTAATGTTAGAAATACTGAAGATCTGAAACTGTTTTCAGGGGGTATAAAATTCTCATACTGAATATTAATGTTAGTGCTTTGTTGTCAAATAATGTTTCTTCTATAAGAATGTAAGAAAAGAAATTACAGCTTCGTAAACTAATCACTTTTGGCATCATTTACCAAACCTGTCAGACCTGATTCTTTCTCATCCCCACCTTACTGGAAGTACAGGATAGGCTATCACAACAGTCTTTTTTTTTGTGTGTGTGTGTGTGTGTGTGTGTGTGTTTCCATGACTTGTTAAATGTTAAAAACTTTTACAAAAAGGTTGCCTATATTACTCACCTATGTTAATATCACCAACTGTGGCTTGCTTATATAAACCATATAGTACACCAATTTCATCATAGTTTGGTCTTTGTTTGAGCACCTTCACCTCCTCTACTGCTTTTTTAAATGATTCCTGGGGGGATGAAAGAAAATACAAGCTGAAACAGAAATCTTTTATCAAGTTATCAAAATGTCTTAACTTAAAAACCAGCCTTATACTTCACAAAATGTAGTACGACTTGTGTTATCATCAGACTTATCACCTCATTACATTCACGTAAGACTTTACACATGCAGCTCAGCAGTGATTCCTGCCCTATTCGTAACTTTAGTACAGCCTAGTCCAGTACAGACATAATCAACACACCTACAAGGTAACTTAATAACTTCACTAAATAAAAAACACATATCTTTATGTAATGTTGCAGGAAAGGACTCAATTCAGAAGAGGTAGTACTTACAGTCATGACGGCAGTGAGAGCACACCTTGCTGCTGCTGATTTCACAGCGCTTGTCCAACTAGTCCTGCAATACTGCTGTTTGTGGCAGTGGGGATTTGCTGAGGGAAAAGAATGTGGGAGGTAGTTTCTGTCACTGCCAGCGAAGACAGCAGGAGACTATGAAGGCGTATTATTCAGTTCTACCATTCTTAAATTAATAATAACAACAACAGTAGAGCTTGATATAACAACTTACAATTAATGCTTATAACATATATTATATTGAATCTTAAGGTTTAAGTATTTGATACTTGCCACTTACTCATGTTAGTTAATTTTGGTTAAAATAACATTTTTCACAACTTCACACACCACCGAAGGATATGTAGTGGACAGGTAACACTGGGGGTTTCCAGTTACAGTGCAATACTGATATTCTTAATAAAACGTCAAGGCTCTTTTACACATCTGACAAGAAATTGTCAGTTTTCTGAGACTTTAAAGCAGACTGTTTCCTTTTTTTATGCATTGCACCTGTTGTCTAATGTCTCCTATGACATCAAAATAATGATTTTTCATGTTTTTCCCCAAAGACAAGGAAAACCTTTTCAGCTTTGGGAGACAAGAGTAAAATTATTCTCCACCACAAGATGGCAGCATCCACATTTTTAATGATCTGATGGGTTCTTCGCTGTTGGTGGGCCTAAGACTAGATTGACCTTTTGTTTGATTTTATAATGGTGGCCATCCGTCTAATCTTTAAATGATTAAGATGGTTTTGATGTTCTATTTCAGAAGTCCTTACATGAAGCTGATGAATACATTTTTCACAATGCAATGGGCTCCACATCGACAAATATCAAATCATGATCTAGAAAAAATGCTTTATTCTGTTTCTGTTTGAGATCTTTACATTCATGCCTTTGTGGTAAGAGACACATCTTGAATGTCAGAACACTACTATGACATTTTAATTTAGAGTCAGAAAACATCTTTCAACAACTGAGAAAATACAAACTAATGTAATAACAAAACAAAAATAGCTGAAATCAACAACTGGTTTGATCACAATGAAAAAGTTCTGTAACAGCTTATTGATTTTTTTTTAAGTCAAATATGTACTGATGGGTGATTATCAGCAGGTGAGTTCAGTACATAAAAACAAAAACAAAAACATAAAGCAAACACACCAAGAAAACAATGCAAGCCAAAACATAGCAGTCGAGTGTGACAGCTGCTACAGTAGCAATGCTTTAGCCTTTAAGTTTTCATAAACACCTGAGTAAGGGACTGTACAAAGATTATTAAGGAGGAGGTGTAGTCTGAAATGAAAATACTTGGCTTTATTTTGTGCTGCGTCTTTTAAAGGATTTTGGCATTTTGCCATTTTCAGTCAAAAGCAATCATATTTCTGTACCAGGGATTTGAGAAACAGAATAGGCTTGGAGCTAGATTTAACGTTACCTCTAGCATAGAGCGCCTCATTAAAGCTTTCTTTTCTACAATATAAAGGAGATCACTGCATACACATGGTAATTGCCAATTTCACTTCTAATCTGTATAATAGCCTCTTTTAGTTGTTAACAGTTTCAGGACTTGAACCAGTTCAAGAATGGTTTGTACATTTTGAGATATTAGGGGGAGTTCGTTTTTCCCCCACCCCAATCATTTTCATACAGTCAATAATAGTTTGATGAATGACAGCACATCGAAAGTATTTGGAAAAGAAAATGTCAAAAGAAAATAAAACACTTACGCCAATGAAAAATATCATAAAACGTGAAACCATGTTTGGTTCAATTTAACACATGACAATACAGGATGATGGGCTATGTTGAAGGCTGGCTGACAAAAATCTGCGCAGCAGTCTTGAAGTGCACACAGAAAAAAAAAAAACCTTCAGCTGACAGGAATGCATATGCCAAGCAGAAGGCCAAGCATTTTCTGTTGATCAGTGAAGAAATCTTGTTAAAAAGACTCAATGGACTACAACAAAATTCAGTTGTAGTGCTTCAGTTAAAGCAAGTTCAGTAGAATTGTAACAGTGACTGCATAAATTAAACAAGACGCTAATATTGCTTTTCTTCAGTTCTGGGTTGAAGCTTCAAATAGAGTTAAAATCTCAACAATAAATTAAAATAAAAAGCATAAAAAAGGACCAAATAAACACTCATTATTGACAATAAGAAGTGCAATAAGATTGACGGCTCTACTGGTCAAATATCTCTAAAGAACAACCAGCTAATTTATTGAAAAGAAACATCTCTGAAATCTCTCAATGGGCTTTAGAGAGAAGCCTTCAATACATTCCAAGGGTGTATAAATCATTTATCTTCTGTGTGAGCGGTGTTTTTATTAATGAGTGCACGCATAAGGAGCTCTACTTTTATACCTTTTGTCTGGATCTTCATATGCATGTCTGTACAGTCACACATGACTGACATCCTCCATCCCGTTGCGGCAGTCATCGTCCGGCAGGGTGAAGCGGATGTGCCGGCTCTTCTCCCAGCCGCGTCGGATCTGTCCGAGCCGCCGGGCCACGCAGGGCACAAAGAGAGCCAGGCGGCCGAGCAGAACCACAAGTGGAAGAATCAGGACCAGCAGGAAGGTCGGGGGGAGGTGGAAGCGGTACTGGGCCGGGTCAAAGGCACGGTCCCAGCCATAGAGCATTGTGTGGAGGGTGGCCATGGACAAGGCGCAGTAACCTATCGTGGACTGCAGGAGGTGAAAGAAGGGCGTCACAGGTTGTATTTGGATGCGAAAACAATAGTTAAAGCGCTTTTACAATATAGTCAGGTCCTCCTAACACATACATAACATACACACACACACACATATATAAAAATATGACCCACACTGAAACTGAGATTTTACCTCAAAGTGACTCCTCTTCAGTTCATATTGTGGCAGTCCAGCCAGTGCACTAAATTAGCTCATTACGTTAGGCTAATGCAGACCCCGCAGAAACACACTGACCTACCACTCATAACCTGAATGAACCCCACTAATGTATGCATCTGTCTGTGTATACATCTGTCTATCTCTGTGTGTGTGTGTGTGTGTGTGTGTGTGTGTGTGTGTGTGTGTGTGTGTGTGTGTGTGTGTGTGTGTCATATTTTGTACCTTCAGGGCAAGCCAATTACAAAAACCTCCCAAGGTTGACTCCGGCAGGGGTCAGGGGTTAAAAATAGCCTCATTTAAACACTAACTGGGTAGAGTGGATCATAATTATTTCCACTTGACAAGATTGTGCCTGTTCTCTCCTGAGGAGTGGAGAATGTGTCCATTTATGCAGAAAAATAAATCTTGTGATATTTAACGTAGATATACCTGAATCTGTACTAATCCGCTGTTGAAAATGCACTTTTTCCCCTCTGATTTGCTAAACCTACAGTGCCCAGCTGTTTCAGGAAACTATTTAGCCGTAATTTAAAAAAATTCAACTAATATATTTGTGACCCATTTCTAAAGGTTTATATCTTCAGCAGAAGCAAATGGGTTTGGGGCTGAGAGCCATAGACAGGCAGGAAAATTTGTATTGTATTGTTGGTTTTGGTCATTTTGTAAAATTTGTTGATAATCAATCAATCAACATTTATTTGTATAGCACTTTACAGCCACCAATAAGTGTCCAAAGTGCTTTACATCAACCAAGAATAAACAACACAGCATTCAATAAAAGACAAGAAGAAAACACATGAAGCATAGAAAACAGTAAGTCAGATAAGGTTGAAGAAGAGGGAAGTTGTTGCACCACTACTGTGTATTAAAAGCCATTCTAAATAAATAAGTTTTAAGTTTTGATTTAAAATGAACAACATCAGCTATAGTGCGAATGTCAGGGGGGAGCTTGTTCCAGAGTTTTGGGCCAGCAACAGCGAAAGGCCCGATAGCCCCACTGTTTGTACCTGGACCTCGGGACTTCTAGAGTCCAAATGATTTGAAGACCGCAACAGTCGATTTTGCCCACCCAAAGTTAAAAGCTCGGACAAATACTCCAGGGCTAGCCCATTTAAGGCTTTGAAAACAAACAATAAAATCTTAAAATCAATTCTAAAACGGACCAGAAGCCAGTGTAGTGTAAAAAGAATGGGAGTGATGTGTGCACTTCTAGATGTATTTGTTAAAGCGAGCAGCAGCATTTTGCAGAAGTTGAAGATGTGAGATGGATGTTAGACTTAGACCAACATAAAAAGCATTGCAATAATCTAGCTATGAACTAATAAAGGCATGAATAGCCTTTTCTAGATCGTGCCTGTTAAGAAAAGGCTTTACTTTTGCCAGGAGACGAAGCTGGAAGAAGCTCATTCTGACAACATTGCTAATCTGTTCAAATTTCATGCTATAATCGAATGTCACACCCAGATGCTTGGCACATGAAGTCAAAGCTCCCAGACTTAAAGCGGGATTGTCTGACATGAATTTTGTACTGAAGATAATACACTCAGTTTTGTCTTCATTCAGATTAAGGAAGTTCCGAGATAGCCACAATTTAATATCATTAATGCCATTAAGCAGGCAGTTTAGTGCAACACTGTCATTAGGTTTCATAGGCAGATAAATTTGCAGGTCATCTGCATAACAATGAAATGACAGGTTGTGCTTGTCTATTATAGCCCCTAATGGCAACATATATAATGAGAACAGGATGGGGCCAAGAATTGAACCGTGGGGCACCCCGCAGATGAGGAGGAGAAATCACCCATTGTGACAGAGAAACTCCTATTTGTCAAATAGGAGCTAAACCATATAAGTGCAGAGCCTTGAATGCCTACAAAATGCTCAAGGCATGCAAGAAGGACTGCATGGTCAACTATCAAAAGCTGCTGTCAGGTCCAACAGCACTAATAAAGTAGGATCCCCAGAATCTACAGACAAGGCAATATCATTGTGAACTCTTAGCAGTGCTGATAATAACAAAAATATAACATAACCAGCCTCATCTCATATTTGTGTGAACCTGGGACCCTTAATGCACTGATCTGCTCTGCAGGTCTGAGATTAGGGCACTACTTAAGACTAATCCAGTGCACATTTTTGCCATTTCTGCAAAGTAAAACATGTCATATGATGGCAATACATGGTATGTTATGTAATGTAGTGACCACTGTGTTGATGACACACATACATTTTGGCGGCAAAATCTTACATGGCACTCAAAACGAAAACCCAACAATCAAATTAGGTCACTTTTACACCCGCAGTTTAATTTTGTCCAGATCAACGGGAAAGATTATACGTTGTTGCCTTTTAGTTCTTGTCCAGTTTGTGTTAATCTGTACTCCCCTCCCCATTTGGCCTTAGACTCTCACATGACACATAAGATGTGCAATTTAAGTCTTTCAAGTATTTGAAATGATGTAGAGTAAGGACTTCCACATACTTTAATATTTTATATTACTGTAAATATAAAGTCTAGAGCCTGACTGTAACTCTATATATATATATATATATATATATATATATATATATATATATATATATATATATATATATATATATATATATAAAAATATTTCACTGCATCTGCTCACTGTTTCTCTTCTGTATTGACCACAAAGTTTTATTCACAACACCAAACTTGAAATATCTGAATCACTGAAGTTTTCAGTAGGCTACAGTAATTCTGTTACGCATCGTATCACAATTTACACTACTGTAATATACACTCGATATATTCCAACATTTTGACAGTAATAAAAGGAAAATTTTAAAGCTACTACATACATTTAAAATGCATTGCCATGGTGAAGAGGTAATTAGCATTTATGTTGCAGTGATGCTCAAAAGAGCAATTTTCTGTAAGTGTTTTGTACACTGAAACTCTATTGCAAAAGCTGAACCAAAACAATGATAAATATGTAAATCTATTTCAAATATCACCTTGAAAGTCTCTCTCTCTCTCTGCACACACAGGCCCATAGACATACTACACAACACATCAGCACATTGTCCTGCAGCTGCAGGCAGCAGGTCGAGCTACATGTGCTGGGCAGAAAGTTGCCTTTCATCACGCCGGCTGTCGGCACATGACTAATCTGACGGCCACCGGATTAGTTTAACTGGGAAAATGCAGCACAGATGCACCACAAGTGTTGGGAGAAATGGAGGCCACGATGGGGAAAGTCAAGGAGGAGAGGAGGAAGCGTGTGTGCACTGAGTCACAACAGTCCTGATGGCTTTGTCACAGTCCAAGTTTAACACCATATCTGGGGCAGCTGCAGGAGTGCGAACCGTGTTTGTGTGCGCGTGACCACATAAGCATGTAGGAGCCATAGCATGCAACTGTCTGCACATGAGCGTGATGCTTGTATGTAAAGAAGTCTGCCTGTATGTTGATGTGTCAATTTTTGGCCATCATTCTGTATTAATCCTATCTGTCGTTTCCCCTGTTTCCAAGAAGAATATCCTCTTGGCAGTGTGTATATATATATATATATATTCATAGGAAAAGGGGCGCTTGGGGGAAAAACATTCACTTTTAATTAAACTAGTACATCACTGCATGTATGAGTGCATGTGTTTGTGTGTACCTGTATGAAGCTGAACTCCCTCCAGTTGACAGTGTTGGCCACTGAGGGCAGCGAGGTGACAGCCAGCAGCGAGAGCAGCCCAAGGGCCATGATGCCCACCGAGAGGTACAGCTCCATCCTCCACACCTCCCCGTCGTCCCACGAGTCCCCTTTCATCTGGACGACATGATAAACACCAAAATCCTTGTTGTGTCCAGGGTATATTTTCAACTCCAGTGATTCCATTTATATATTTTTTGCACTAATTTTTAACACTAACTTTTTCTGCATTTTCTAGCATCAATTTATGTTGGAAATGTTTATTTATGTGAAGGGAAACACAGAATTCAGGTGGCAGGTGACAATTCCTACTCTTAGTAACAAGTGCAGCACCTATTGTACACCTATATACAAATTGCACAATATTATCTCTTTAAATACTAACATACAATATTTTCTGATTCAATACTCTGGTTACTCTGTCCCAGTACTGTAGTATTTAAGGACTGTATCCATTCCACATCAGCTCTACCAGTACTCTTTATTACTATTAGTATTTTATTCAATTCACTACTACTATTTATCATTACATTTCTGTTAATACTGTTAAATACTGTCCATATCCAAACTCCTTATATTTAGATTTTAGATATATAATTGTTATATTTTCTATTTAGCTAGTTTCTATTATTATTATTATTATTATTATACCTTGATATGCAAGTGAGCAATTTGTAACAAAGATTTTCCTCATCATAGTATTTGTGATTCTGAAAATAAAAACAAAATACAGTATATAATGCAGTGAGGCTCTCAGGCATTCTGTATTGCTTTCAGATATGTTTTCTCATGCAACATGATCCCTGCTGAGTCAGCACACACACAGGCATGATTCAGTCTTCCCACCTCTTTTGTGTCTTTTGTTTGGGGAAGTAACCGTTTAAATGTACATGTGGCATCTTTTAAATCAGGGCGGCTGAGGCTCAAGAGGTAGAGCAGGTTGCCTGTTAATTAGAAGGTCGGTGGTTCAATCCCTGGCTCCTCCAGGCTGCATGTTGAAGTGTCCTTCATACACTGCCGCCAGTGTGTGAATGTTAGTTTCTGTTCGAGCACTTGGGCTCAGTGTGTGAATGCAGCTGTAGTGTAGAAACGCTTTCAATTGTCGTCATTTACCTTTTCCACCTCAATGATCAATTAATTCAGTTAGAAACTCTTGGACTTTAATAGCTCCTGTGTTCTGACATGTCCCTAATAAAAGTCATTATATTGCGAGACCAACATCATAATTTAATGAGAAATCATAAGTCTGCAGTTATACATTTGTTTTTCCCAGCATGAGTTAAAGTTTTTTCCCCGATGAGAAATATCGTCATGTTTTAATCTCGTGAGATCATCACACACCGAGCCAGACGTGGACATCCTTATAAATTTAACAGTTTTAAATAAATCCTCACACCACATGCAAATTCAGCTCTCATAATATCTTGGTGAGACTCATGGCGGCACTTTATATGGCCATAATAGCACAAAGCATTCTAATTGAAACTGCCAGCATCCAAATGTAGTAGGCTAAATAAAGCAGATAACTTTCATTATTATTAAAAACGCTGACTGTTTTAGTTTACTCGATTAATTCTACTAGTGTATTATTTCTCCAGTAACTAAGCGAAAATCTACCAAGTCATACGTATGTTGGATCATGACACTAGCAGAACTAACGTACAAAAATAACTATTAACAGCCGACAGGCACTAAAATATATTCTATTCTAGTATTGTGTCATCAGTATCAGTATGATACTGCTGTGTGGGTATCTGTGTGGAATATGTACTGCCTGTGAAAACAAATCTCCCTCTGGGACAATAAAAGAGTGTCTATGTATCTAAAAGTAGTCCATCAACCAAACCGCCGAAGTGAGCCTCGCCAAAGGGGAGAACATGTCAGTCAGTCTCCAACCACACGGCTTGAAGCTGACCAACTTTACACAGCACTCCAGTGAGTTTGTAACACTGTTTAAGGATGCTTTCATTTTGATCGCTGGCAGTTTGGTAACAAATCAAAACCAAGTAGGTGCAAGAAGGCGAGAGCTTTTGTCAACATCAGACTCAAGAGTGCACAGATGTGGCCATTTCCTGGATGTAGCAAATACCAAAATAGTTGTTTATTTTTCAGAGCTACTTGAGGAGAAATTCAGACCCTCAATGAGATTAGCCCTTAACACGTAAATTCTTTATGCCACTCACTCAGAAACACTCCTCTGCTTCTATCACTCACCTGTTGTGCCATGTTGAGCAGTTTGTAGCGGGCAGACTTCCTCATGGGAAGACACAGACTATAGATGGCGTGTAGAACCGCACACAGGAAGCTGCAGAGTCCAAACTGCTTCCTCGTGATGAGCCACCGGTCCAGCCATTTAGGGAAGCGGTTGTACTTGGTGCCCCGCGACAGCTGGAGGAAAGCGGCGCACAAACCAGGCAGGTAGACCAGGGAAAACATCACCAAGGCCACCGAGGGAAGTGTCACATTAACAGTCTCAATAGGCATTTTGTAGAAAACACTCTTCCCTTCTGTGATGTAGGGCTGCAGGACGTCACGGATGAAGTTGTACAGGTAGAAGAAGATGAACAGGGACAGGGTGCAGAGGACTGGGATGCGCCAGGAGGGAAATAGATAGAGGGGGAGGTTTTCAACCTCCAGAGAAGAGGAGAGGAGGCCCATATCAACAGGGACAAAGCCCATTCTGCGACAGAGCTGCATCACCGATCTCTTGGCCTTGCTGCTATCACTGCAGAGGAAAACCTGGAGGAATAACAAATGACAAAAAGATGAAGCTGAGTTCTGAATTCTGTCTCTTCTGAACTAGATCTAGAACTCCTCTTTTTTTTTTCCCCAAACACATTTTAAGTCCAGGGATACTCTATGACTCCGAACTATAAGGGCCAGCTGATGTCTCCTACCTGCCTGCTTCCATCCCGAGGTCCCGTCTGCAGCACCCAGGCTGATATGGTGTTAAACCCTTTAACTACAGAACTCTCTGGAAACAGGTCGGCCAGATGTTCGGCATTCGACGGCCCCTCTTGGTTGATTCTCAAACCATTGCTAACATCCACCAGTGTCTTTCCAGCTAGTGTCGGCTTCAGGTCCACCAGAGTGGAGTGATGCTCAGGGTACACAGCGACAAACACCAGGTCTGCCTGGCTGGCTGCCTCCATCTGGGATGTCACCTGGAAGACAAAGACAGGAATGGATGAGGCGTGGAAACAGCAACCTCTGTACATACAGTCTCCTTGCTCTAGCTTTATATTTAGTGAACAGACGTGAAAGTGGTATAATTCTTTATACCCAACTCTGTGCAAGAAAACAAATTTTCCAAAACACCTGACTGATAGTGATTGAGAATGATCATCAGAAAAGTGCCATGGGAAACATGCAGCTTTTTTAAGTATAATTAGTTTAGTTACATCTTATAGAGAGAAACCTTAAAAATATCTGATTAACTGCTTTTTTCTGTTTCCATACCACATATTTAACTTAGATTACCTGTTAGGTATCTATTTAGGTAATAACAATTATTATGCCTAGTGGATACAACCAGAGTAAATACATAATTATCACCATAGGGAGAGAAACAAAAGCACCAATTACATGGTGAGTGTGAATTTGAGTGTCAGTGTCACTGTGTGTGTCACCTCGGCCTCCTCAGGGAACAGAGCCACAGAGCGTTTGGGGGTGCGACTGCCCACCACCACTTGGTAGCCGGAGGCCACCAGCCTTCTCGCCAGCGAGCGGGAGAAGTCGCCCGTACCCAGAATGCCAACAACTGGATCGCCAGATTCAGACATGGAGGCTTCAAGATGTCTGGAGCCTCCTCCTTCACCTCTGCCTCGGATTAAAGGCCTGGCCATCTCATCAGGCATATTGCACTGAAAAATAAGTATATAGAAGACATGGTCATTATTTTTTATTTATGTTCATTAAAATCCCTAACAACCTTAACAGGTTGTTTTTTTTGTTGGGCCTAGACCTTTATAGAAAAGAGTACTATTATTCTCATTATCTTTGTGTCCCTATGTCCAAGATCTGTAACTCTGCAGAGTACAGAGCAATGAGTGGCCATCCAATATAACCGTTAGGCTATAACTATATTTGATATTACGCACCCTGAAACCAGCTGGCTCTGAAAATAAGTTTAACAAACACGCCTGCCATTCATCCAAAAGTTTATATCAAACTCATGAGCCCCTGCTCCATATACCACACTCTTATGAACGCGGTTATTGTGCGGGAACCATATGCTATAAACAGTAAAGTTTCCCAGAAACCCGGCAATATTCAGAAGCCGCATCAAGTAACGTTAAATACTTTATTTAAGCTGACCTATTAACCATAAAACATTAAATTGCCAAAAGATCCATAGTGATATTCTCTTCTCACAACAGAAAAGCGAGTTGAAGCCACCTTGCTTGTTGTCCTTGTCTGAACTCGTGGAAACTTTACCTCCGAATAAAGTCACTCTTCTTACCACACAGGCAAACATTCACGTACATTTTAGATAAAATAATAGCTTATATTACATCATTTAGCTTCTGTTGGAAGTAACAGCGACATTTATACTTGTTTACAGTTACTCACCCCGCGTCTCTGCTTTCTGTGAACTGGCACGTTTCTTCCTGATAAGGTGACGCAACGGCCAAAGCCCCGCCCCAGCCACGCCTCCACGTGTGTGCACAAGATAAAACAGAGCATTGTTCCCCCTAAAACATAAAACTATATGAATGTCATCCAGGAATGTAATCGGGTGCCACACCATAAAATGTTCACATTTCAACAAGAACAAAGCAAACTTTATTTTTATAGCATTTTTCAAAACAGAGCTTTACATGAAGTAGAAAATGGGAAGGAGGGAGATACAGACAGATAAAACAAACTCTTGGTCTTCTTTTTGTTGTAGCAGTTGTTTAGTTGTATGTCGCAAACCACATGGTATTCTACTGAAAAATGTCAAGAAGGAAGGTGTAATAATTTCCGTCCCCTCCATCACCCCATCTGGTGTGTGTGATGAACTGGCTTTGGGATTAGAATAAATAGCAAAAGCAAAAGCGTGTTAAAAAGATGTCTGACCGCAGGTTACACGCTGTCAACATGAGTTCATCAAGTCTGCCTTTGCCACTTGCAAAAGGTTGAATCCCCCTGGCTCGCAGCGATGCTTCAGTGTCACCACATGCAAACATATCCACACATTTGCACACACGCACACACACACACACACACACACACACACACACACACACACACACACACACACACACACACACACACACAGTGAATGCATGCCTCTCTTTTGCTCTCTGGCCTCATGTTCGTTTACAACGCTTAAGGTCACAGTCCTTGACATACATATCTGATTTTGAGATTTTTCATTCAGAGGTATCGATTACTGGTGTCTCCCGGTGTGGTAACCCATTAATCTTACAGGTCAAATCGTTAAAGTTATTCTGATCCAGTGGGGACAGACTTTACAGAGAGAGTTTACTACTCTCCCTAAAATAAGACAGGATATCTGGATTGAAAATGCTGAATTGGCAAATACAGCAGGGTCTTTTAAGCTTTTCCGGCCTTTGATGCTGTTTACGGGTTCATATATTATGCTAACCACCTGCAGTTAGCGAGGTGTCATGTTGATTTAAACATATATTTTAATTTTCTATTGTCAAGATCATGGAAGATAAACACGTGGATGACATAAAGTCAACCCTTCACACAACAAGTACTTGTCATTTTATTATTTACATATTTTTGGTCCATTTAAACAGGGTGAAGCATGTGTAATCATAATATGTAAATGAGTTGCATTGGAAATACAGCGGCCGAGAAGTAACGGCTTGGTCATAAACGATGAGCCTGAGGTGGACAGGTACAGCTATGTTAACGTCTGACAGGACTTCACTGTCAACAGGCTACATGGAGGAAGACATTTTGTTTATGTGCTTTCAAAAGCGGAGGTGTCTTCCGTGCTCTTCATCAGGGATTAGGGTCACATGTTGAGACAGGAGCTGATGTTGCAAGTTCTCATTGTTGTGGCTCAGTGAAGGTTTCCCACACAGATTTACAGTAATACCCTGTGACATTTTACTGTAACTACATACAGTTTTGCTAATCCCAATTAAATGGCACAGTTTCACTTATAGTTTATCCTGCAATAAAATGATTCAAGTCTTTCCCCTGGTCACTAACAGGTGACGTAGGTTTATCAGCATCATCGATTCATTAGAGAGAGTTGTTATGACTTATAACGGTGCTCAACTAAAGGAAACGCCTGCAAGTAGACAAAACTACTTTCCAGGGTCCATTTAAAAGAGCAGAACACACATTTCTGCCATGGTTTGTGCCCATGGATGTGCTCATGGTGTTACTTACGCCATGACTTATAGTAACATTATTTAGTATTTTTATTTTAAAATAACAGCTTCAAAACCATTTTAATGTTACACTGACTTGTAATAGAATAAATGACATCATTGTCTTTGCATCTCCGGGCCATGGAAGCTGTCTGTGGGTAGGATTTCTATCGCAACAACAGTTTAATGCTTTACAGTACAATATTTACAGTACATACACAGCAAAACTCTTCAGCAAACAAGCTAAAAAGAAGCAAAAATGGAGAGCAGCAGCGGTGTCAAGGCAGAGCCAGGCGAGCGGGAAACATAACCTGTTGTGTGTCTTTCTTTATTTTATTTGAATTAGAGTAGTAGAGTATTAAGGCTGATGCTACGTGTATAGCAAATATCTGTAATAGCTGAGTCATGAAATCAGAGTGTTTAAACTAAATTAAACGTAAATCATAGATCATTTTCTGTATTTGGTTTAGTTGGGCAGTGGCATCAATACATTTACTTAAGTACTGCACTTAAATACAAATTTAAGGAACTGTATTTGGATATTTCCATTTTCTACTTTGTACTCACCTCCATTTCAGTATGAAGATTACTTTTTACTCCACTCTGTTTATTTGACAGATATAGTTACTTTGCAGATGAATATTTGACATAAAAACCATATGATCAGTTTTTAAAATATAATTCATTCTTAAATTTTGAACTCCTCAACATGTTAAGTAGTTAAAATGACCTCCCTCTCTCCCTAAATCCAGCATGAGAATGGAGGACTCCGTCACTATACCAATAAGAACGACTATATAGAGAGATAATTACTGAATGTTAACACACTGAGTGGCTAGTGTCTAAAAAAGTATCAACCATAAATAGTGTCAAACTGGGGTTTCATTTCATGGAAATAACTTAAAGTAAATTCCACTGTTTATACTTTACTTAACACTGAATGCTGGATTACAAGTACTGTAACATGTATTCTGTATACAAGGGTAAAGGGTCTGAATATTCCACCACAGGTGCTATCTGGTTGTTTTCTGTATTTGTGCTGCAATTCATTATGCTCCACATGTGTTGTCAAATTGGTGAATGTGTTTCTAAATTTGCCCGTGTTTTATACTTTGCAGCATTAGTTCCAAATGGTTCACATGTGCTCTCAATTTTGTGAAGATGTTTTATTTTCCTGTGTTTTCTCTATTTGCGTGTGTTTTCTTGAGTGTCAGTGCTTTGAGCTCCCAGGACCACCATACTGGCCCCGTTTTAAATTTCCTTCTATGTTATTTTAAAACATCACTCAGAAAAGATGAGATACAGTTTAAAGTCTGGACGCTGCTAATGGTGGACTGATTCATTTGTCTCACCGTATGGTTTGTGTGTATGACACAGCAGTCCACTAACATGCGTCGTGATTAGAAGCATGGCAGCGCTGCAGGGCAGGGTAATCTCAGCAACTGCAGAGCATAATGTGGACAGTGTGTTGTGCATGGCTCATTGTAGCCTAAAGATACAGTTCACTGTACTAATCCTGAGTAAAGGTCATTTCGGTGGCAGAGTCAGGGAGCATAATGTTCTCAGCACGTCTTTCTACATTCTTATTTTTAGGGTTTTGTTTTGCAGATGATTATTGCATTGTCATTTCAATGAGCGGTGTTTTAAATATGGCATAAAATCTCCAGCTTTGTCGTATTCAAAATTTCAACATCAGTTTCATTTTTGAACCCAGCTCTCATGACTTCTCGTGCTCTCTCTCACCTTCAGACATGAGCAGCACTGCTGGAGCCATGTTCTGAGGAGTTAAATCTGAGCTGGGCACAAGTTGAAATTGCTTGGGGCTTGAGGGGTGGGGGGATGGGTAGGCTCAGTTAAGCCTTGTCTCCGGCCTCTGAAGATTTCTTCACGTCACCTTGAGCTCTAAAGCCTGTGCTGTGGATATGGGACCTGTGATCCAATTCCAGGTGCTTAGTTCCCAAGTGTTATTATAGTATTTGAGTTCCTTTGGGGGAACGTTTGAGCTTAAAGACAAAATCAATGGACGCTTATTTTCAATGAGCAAAGGCTCTCTTTACTGAGTGTCTCAAATGCTTGAAATAAACAGGCATTAATAATAGTCTTATTCAGTTGATGTGCTCATAAACCACATGGTTAGAACGAGTGTGGCCTCAGTGGAAAAGAAACAGCAAAAACTAAAGAGGCATTTAAGACAAATCTGTATGCAATAGAGTAATGATTGCCAGTGCACAGCAGGAATTTTAATATGTTGGAGAATCGAAATTCAAGGCCGGTGGCTCTCCACCTCGTGAAACAAGACATCAAATATGTCCCTGCAGCTGGGGAGCTCAGAGCTGAAGGTGTCGACAGTCGTCAGACATCTCTGGTCCATTCCCTGCATATATTATCTGCTTTCCCCCTCTGTCTGAATGTGTGTGTGAGCGTGCGTGTGTGTGTTAGTGACCAATGCCGTTGGTCATTTGATGTCACCATAATGAACCTGCCCCCAGCCACTGGTTCTGACTTTGAAAAGACCCCTCATGGTCTGAGTCAAATATCTGGCTGTGCAGCCTACTCAGCTGCTGCCGTAAACGTGACTTTAGCCTTAATTTTGTCACAGTAAATTTATTCATGTGGAAAATACAAATGATTTTAATTCAGCGATTTGGGGAGTCTAGTCTATGCTATTATGATGGACAATCTCCATTCACCAAAACTCACAGGATAAAGAGTGTTGCTGGATGGCATGATGTCCAAAAAGATTAATATTTGATGGGCAACCCCTAAGCTAGCCTAAAGAAGAATGATCTGTTTCAGAAACCTTTATTTCCAGAGGAGCATGGATGAATAAACTGTGTGGTCATTTTGGGCTGTAATGTATTCCGCATATTAGAATTTACATAAACAGCTCTGTACCGTTGAGATTTATGAAAATAAATATGCAATCGTTTGGCATTTTAGGCCTATAGGCTATGTGCATGGACAGACACATTCAAGTATAAGATTAAGATAGCCAATATATAAGATATCTAAATGTATCCCACATATTGAGTGTTCTCTGAATCATACTAAATAGCCTAATTAGTGCCATTTTGAATAACAGTTGCGCAGACTTGAACTTTACGCACCGGCTGTTGGTCCTCTTGTCAAGTCAGCCAGACCAAAAAAGAGGACTTCCTGTCATGCATTTAAAAATAAAATTCTTGTTGACAATCTGTTTT